AGTACACTTATCAATACAGACTGTAAAAATATGGAAAAATTGGAGAGTGAAGCTCTCACCGCAGGGAACAAGATGCATATTTTTATTTATTTTTTGCCCTTGTCCTGGCCTCTCAATATTTTCGTGTATCAATAATTTAATTGTCTGCCCAGAAAAATATATCTTTTGTGTAGTGAAAGGTGGTGCTTTGTCTTTAGCCGTAGTCTCAGTTTCAATTCCCGTCACTGGAGATTCGTATAAAGTTTTTAGGCGTGATACAAATCACGGAAAAAAAAAACAAAGAGGATTCTCTTACTACTGGTAGTGTCTGTTCCGTCTATTAAATCGTCCACTTCCTTCTGGGACAGGGAGCTGGATGAAAGCTTGCTGAAAGTCGGTAACTGGTTCACGTGGTTGATCGACACTAAATTGCGCGGGGAATATCACGATCTATCAGTTATTTCTGGACAAGCGAGTATATTTCCTTTTTTGCTGAAAAAACAAATGGGTGACTTACTGTTTGTAGTCAACTAGTGAGTCTGAAGATACTGAGGTAACTGAAGTGCTGACTGGCTCTCTCTTCTGGTCGCTGAGAAAGTTCCAAATGTATTTGTATGATTCAAATGTCGTACGAGTTTGAATGATAAACTCGTCTGTAAACGGATGGATTTCTGGGTAATAGAAAAACGGGAGTTCTTCAAAGAAATCGATTGAGTTTAAGGGTGAAATTTTTATATATGAAGATAGTGAAAAACTTGAATCGATTCTTCTGAGATGTTTTTTGATTTTAGTGAAATAATGAGGAAATGAACTTATTTTTTCAAAAATGATTTAATTGGTTTTTCTTCGGAAAAGGTGTTTTTAGTCTTTTGATGATTTTTATTTGGAAAATGAAAAAAAGGTCTAAGGTTTCGTTTATTTTCGAGAAGAAAAAAAACTTAATGAGAGGAGGCCCAGATTTGTCAGCTGAAGTCTACAAAACGTTGCCTTTGTAGCACTTTAAACTGAATGAAACTCACGAATTGAGAGGTTAGAAGATTGGGTGGGCTTTGTTATAACAGAGTCGACTATCTTTGTTAAAGTAAATTCGAGCCCAAAGTTAGTTGTCTATCTTATCTTGGGAGATGACAGGGAAGTGAAAGGTACTCACGAGTTAGGTGGACTATACTCGAGGTCTTCTACGAATGGGTACAAGTACTCCTATTCCAGGGCAGGTCGTAAGATCTACTTCTAGTTCAAATGGCAAAGACTAGCTTTGATTATTTGAACACAAAGATTTGAGACCTATGTTAGACACGTGATACTCGAGATCGTAACAAGCAGTTGATCTTAGGATAACTATTTGAAACAACAGTCTTCGGATGGATAGTGAAACGATAACAGTTTAAAACACACAACGAGCTAAGTAAGTAGAGTTTTTATTGACGATGAACGGAATAAGAATTCTATTTAGAGAGTATCGGTTGGAGTTTTAGTTGGTTGTTATAGATTGAATATATCTAAAGCAAAGTTTGTAAGGTAAAGTATAAGATGCCGAAAGATATCTGTTCCTCGAATGGGTTGGTATTTATATGAGTGATTTGTCTAGAAGGCATTCTTGCTTTTGCCTGGTTTTAAACCTATCGTCAAGGGTTTTGATTGTGCCTTGCTTGGACGGCTTGATTGTTGTAAAACTCATACCTGGTCAGGGTCTGAATTAGATCCTGACTAGTTTAAATATTTTTATGAAACTGATGCCTGGTTGTGTTTTATTATCTATATGGGCTATTACTGCGCCCTGTACATTCTAATATTCACTCTTGAAACTTGAGTGTGAGGTGTAAGGGTTCTCGTAGCTTATGTGTAAGCTACGAGAATTTATTATTTTTTAAGGGTGGTTGGTATCTAGTCTTCCTAAGGAGTACATGATTTTACTCTCTAGGTTGACAAGATTTGTGTCAATAAGGAAGCTTATTGAGCAAGGAAACAACCATGTAATAGTAGATATATAACTGTTACAGGTTGATTAGATATGTTTTACATATGTAGGACAGAATAAAGTGCACAGCCAGTGCGAAAAAACTACATTAGGATGTTACAACGAGCAGATTATGTGAAAAACTAGCTTGTGATCCCAAATAGATGCACATATGTAATTGCTGATTTAGCATGTGTAACCATATAATCCTGAATCACCCTTGTGAATTACTCAATGATAGCCTATCCTTTTAGCATGTGAACCCTAGACATCCTTCTTTGGCGGCCATAACATGGCAAGGAGATCTGTTTTAGATGAACAGCCTCAGTTGCTTGAACTAAGGCTACATGTGATTATGAGAAAGATTGACATCAAACAAATCATGTAGGATCATCCTCTAATTTGATCCAGGTGTAATATATTTGTTGAATGATGGGTATCTTCATTGAATACCATACAGAAAGAGAGAAATGGAGAATAGACAAAGTAGAAAAGAATAACTGAATATGAAATAGAATAGGAATAGATAATTGCACTATATGTGTAATTGATGATTACATGTGTTTATTTTAATGTAATTAAGTATTACATGTTTTCTTTTTATCATTAATACATGCAATTGATAAATTACATGTAGGTTTTTGATATGTAATGGGTTTATTGTAAGAAAGGCAATATGCCACTGAGACGGATTATGCCCTTTCTGAAATTTTGACTCCCACTGGCCTATCCAGGGATGCAGGTGTGAGCATGAGCATACCAAGCTCACACTCACTCTGTAATATTTTTAGCCCCATGGCAGAGTACATACTCTCAATCAGGACATACATGTGAGTACTACACATGCTGTACTCACATGTATGTGTCAGACAAAGCCCTGGTGCTCAATTCCACCTCCACCTTCCCGCCTCCTACTCATACTTTATTCTAACCCTCGCGCTCGTTGTTTGGATGAGCAAACTCATCCAAGCCATATGAACATCAATATCCAATATCATCCTCTCAATCAAGCTTCCCACTGTCAATTGAATGCCTCTTTTTCTTAATGTCTCTCCACCCTTTCCTCAAGTCTCGTTCAGAACTTCAGCCTCAAGTTCCAATCTCTATCTTCTTGAAGTGATCTAATCCACTTATCAACCCCAAAGTTACCAACGATTTGGTGAAATCATTTCCCATGGTTGGTTGAGAAAAATTGAAATTATTACCTATTTTTAATGTGTCCTACAAACAATAACCACATGTTTTTGGTTAAAAGAGATTGAGTAAAATCAAGAAAGAAATGAACTGTACCTTCATGGGCACCAAAATTGCCCCCAAAGTGAGAGTACTCGCGCACTGATGACATGTGATTCTACTCACTCTGAGCAGAAATCCATGTGAGTCTGGCACCTTGGTGAGTTGTGCCATTCCCCTAGGACTCACAGATGGGGCCATAGTGAGTCCCGTCCTCAAGGCAACCCTAACATAATTGACAGCTAGAGTATTGTACTCTAACTGTCACAGGATTGGACGGTACTCAAAATGAGTTCCTGGAACTTGGACCCCGCACCCAGATTGTGAGCATGATTTGCTTACACCTGCATCCCTGGGCCTATCTTCATTATCTTCTCTTTCCTCCGGCCCAAATTACATCTCAATCACACACCAGCAACTTGGAATGGGTGTCCAAACAACTTCTGAGCTTCACTTTCTCCCAATAATTGAACCAATTCCATCATAAACATTCATTTCCACAACAGCTGTCAATCTCTACCTTCCCAAACCCGGAACAACACGTCTGAGTCTCTCTTTTCCAGTAACATGTCCAATACTCTTTCAAGGGTTGCTACTTAGTTCATCACCAATCTCTTGGTCTCCAATCTTCAGAATGAATTTTGAGTCAGTTTCATCCTGTTCTCTTCCTCTTCCAAGAACCTGAACTCTCATCTTATCTCTTGGGTTTGGCCTGGTCTTGCTGTTTCTAACCTCAACAGAGATATGATTGTTAACTTTACCACACCTTGGCCCTCAAACCTCAGGTCTTTTACCAAGCTCATTTATTTTTCTTTGGACCATCTTGTGAGTTCTGCTAGGTCCACCATGCCCCAGAATTCAACCAGTGCTGTTGTTAAGATGAGTCTGTCAAGCTTGCCTGTCCCAAAAAAATCAAATGTCAGGTGTAAGAGGCTTGTAATCATGACTAGTATCTTTCCAGACGTTAATGATTCCTGATTAGCCTCTATTGGTAGAACTTGCTCTTCTTCTCTTACTATAGCTTGGAGCACTCCTTTTATCATCTTTGGATCTAGGTCTGGTGACTGTAAGTGGGTTGCAATTGGCCAAGGTTGAAGGCAGGCCAAGTAACTCTCTAATGGTTTCCATCAAACAATCCACTTAGATGATGAGTATTTCTTTGAGGTTGATGCAACTTCCCAGACTAAGAAGGCATATCACAGGGGGAAAAATATAAGATCACATGGAGGTGAGCATAGAAAGTTTGAAGGTTTCTCCAAGATTTCTTCCTGTTTGTTTCCAAATTTCTCTCCATTTCTCTCCTGTTTTCTCCCAGCTCATCATCTGATTAAATATTCAAAATGGCCTGAGAAGATGAGTTAGGCTTTCCTCAGGCTTGGTACCCGTGTCCAAGAAGCCTGAGGTAGGGCTCACCCGTCTGATCAGGTCATCTCAGGCCCTGCAATTCTCAGCTTGCACAGTCCAGTGACCAAATTTGATTACAGTAGTGTGGCAGCCAAGTCCTGAGTACCCATTTGTCCTAAAGGGATGCTCATTCAAGATGGGGATGAGCGTGCTTTGGCAAATTCATGCAAAACATAAGTATTACAGCCTGAGCACCTCAGCACAGCAAAAATTGTAAATTGTAAGAATTTGAAGAAAATTGAAATATTTTTGGCAATATCAGGACACATTCCTATGTTCCCCTCTATGTGAGCTTCTATTTCCCCCTGTTTATACATCCTCTGCTATCAATGTAGCCACACTATAGTAGCCCTGAAGAGTAGATTATTCCTATGTCCCTCTAATCATGTGTGTTATGATTTGTAATTTCTTCTTATCTTTAACTTAATCTTTGACCTCTGCAAAACTATGGGCCTGTTGAGCTGGTTTAGCCAAAAAGTGTTACACAAAAGCACTTTTTCAATCTGCCCCTTTTTCATGGGGCGGAATGAATACTTGAAATTTGGCTATATGAACAATCAACCAAAGAGCTCATTGAAAAATTGAAATAGAGGGGTAAATAAGGGCAAAAACTCTTTTTGCTCTCAAAAACAGCCTCAAGGCGGTTTTTCAAAATTGAAGAGTTTTTGATCAAAAACGATTTGTGTTTGATCAAATGAAGTTGCTGAATGCCGCTATTTTTGATGAAAATCAAAAACTCTTTTGATCCAAAAACACTTTTTGGCTTTGGCGTTGTTTTTGACCAAAAACCGTTTTGGGTTCCAGCCAAACGGGCCCTAACCTACTTGCCTCTGCTCTTCTTATCTTGCCTTCTTTCCTCCATCTTTGCTCTCTCCTAAGAATTCCTCCAAGTCAATTGGTAATTCAAATCTGACTCTGTTGATTTTGACTCATGTAGTGTCTGTGCCTCTAGATTTGGTTTCAGCATTGGTGTTTTTTGACATCACTTTTTTCTCTTCTAGGTTTTAATCTAGTTCTGTCAAATATTGGTGTTGGATCCTGTGCCACTCATTGTTCACTGGCACGTGTTTTGACTCCAAGTTTTGCAGTACCACCTACACAGTGATGTTATCCATCAAGACCAAAATCCAACATCCTTCCACTTTCCTTAGTCTTGCCACTGGCTCCAGGTGCAGGTGTATGGCAATGATTTGTGTTCACAAATACGATGAAACAACTTCAACAAAATGGCACATGAACAAAATGATACATGTGACATTGATAGATAAAATCCACTTCAATTACACTCAAAACCAGGTATGACATATGATTGGTAAATCTATGTCATATAAGAAAGAGTAGAACCAAAACAGGGGTGATACTATGAGATAATCAAATCACATGTCAGTTCACCAGAGCACTGGTGCACCAAAGTATGACCCTTGCTGTACATATATGCATCACAATATGGACTGATCATGATGAGGAAAACAGCCATATGAAGCTGCATTTCACCTCTTCTTTACCTTGCTTCTTCACCCTCAGCCACTTAGATGCTATGCAGCCCCTCGCACTTGCAATTGGCCATGCTGATACCACACATCGCGCAATGTCAGTCTGATCCCCAAGTACGTGTATTGGGCAAACTCATGGATTGAATTTGATTGATGAATACACAAATTATTGGAGTTTGGATTATAGAGCACAACTTATTCTTGATGGTTACAAATTCCAATTATGTTCAATTCCCGGGCAAAATATCTAAATTATGTTGAGGTCAAATCTCAGAAGCGAAGTAAAGCACGCGGTTCCCAGATAAAATAGTGCTCAGAATGGGATGAATACATCAAGCCACTCATTGGGCATGAGTGTTCCTGCTGGAAAGACAAATCGTTTCCATGTCCATTGAGATACAGGGGTCATTCCTTCGCCCAGCCCACGCACCATCCTGATGGTTCAGATATCAGAACGGGAAAAGTAGTTGATCATATGAGTGAAACCAAGGTTGAACGGGTTCTCAAGAATAGGTAATGATCTTCGCAAAAACTCACCAAAGGTCCATGCCAGGTTTTCCGAGGTACATCAACCATCCATATGTCCAGACGTGGCCGAAGATTCCGCTAATCTTGAACTTGGTAAATCTCTCAAGCATCGTCTCGAATAACATCACAAAGGCACAATGCATAAAAAATGCTGCGATCTCATAGTCCCAGCGTGCTCGACTGATGGAAGCAATTGCTAAAAGCCAGAACCGCAATTGATGTCAGCAAGGTTTGGAAATTTCGAGTGAAAGATAAGACACCCCGAACAGTACTCTGAGAGTTATCAAGAAAGCTCACCATACTCGTGCATAAACGCACTCAAGCCCATCGCACCTATCAAGCCCCCGATTTGGCCGGCTACTTTTCCAAAGCGCCCGAATAGCTTCCCCAATGGCATGGCAGCGCAGAAAATCAAGTCTCTTCTGAACAGTGCATGCCAACCTATGTGCAAGGGATGAAGCAATCAGCAAAAGAGCGAAAATTGATGCCGTGAACAAACAAGGTTCGTGTTGACGCAAAAGCACACGAGGAATTGAAATTCGTCCTGACCTCTTCCCCAAAAGTCAGACATACTCTCACGAGCCCATGGAGTGGAGAAAAGCTCAGGGTAGCGAGTCGTATCAAATTCATCTTGAGGTGCCCAATCGCTAGGTAAAACCTTTCGCGCAATTGGCCAAAAGACAGCCTCAACGATGTTCACTGCACATGAAGCAATCTCTAATCCCGACCACATCGAGGCTCCCAAGCAAAAAGATAGGCCGTATCCTGAGATAAACTCAAGTGCTTTCGATTGAGGAAGACCTATACTTTGAGTCAAAATTCCGTAGATTCCGTCTTGATGGTGGAATGCGTGCACGGCAATCGTCCAAAATATTGTGCCGTGTATGTGCATCTTTATAAGACGTAAGAGGTTTCCAATCAAAAAGTCCTTGACCGGCATAGGATCTGGACGCTTCAGAACAGATTTGGGTGGCGCCCAAGCAAAGTCCAGTGATCGAGGACTGTTTATTCACGAATCAATGATTAATTATTTTGATACAGGTAAAGTTAGATTGTAGATGGAAATTACACGTTTCTGGTGGGATGAACTGAAGGATATTGAGAAGGGAACTTGCCTGAGCAATACCAAGAGTACAAAGCGCACTAATTCACCAAAAGAAGGAGGCGAACTTGGATTTTCGCTCGTGTTATGGGTTTTCGCGTCTGGGTTTGGTGTTTCGGGTGCGGAAGAGGTAGGATTTTCTTGCAAAGACTTATGACTCGTGGATTCTTCGGTTTCCGTTTCGATTTTCTCGGCATTCTTTTCCCCGCACTTGTTACTTTTGACTGATTTAAAAATTGGACCATCATAGAGACCAAGTTGTATCGCGAGGCAGATCCCGTGAAAGGTAACGAGAGATACAAATGGGAAATTGGCCATCATGCATTCTCCGAGAGGTTCCCATATTCGATATTTGACACTATCCAAGATCACCAATATTATCAGCGGAGTCAAAGCCCTTCGAGCTAGCAAGAAACCAGGCTTGTTTTGATAGTATGGGTGAAATATAGCGGCTTGGATCATCAATGGGATGAAGAAGGCATGACCAAAGAGCTTTTGATGCATGATAATCTTAGTAACAGGTTCCATCTTGAGAAAAAAATTAACTGATGAGTCAAAGTTAATGTTTGCAACACTGTGTTGTGAGATTGAGATACTTGTGGACGAAAGACATGATCTCCAACGATTTGATTGAAGTATATATGTGACCGGAGCTCCCATTTTTTCAGTATACCTTTGACTCCATCTGGCGCAAAATCTCAACGTTTCTTTCGATGGCTGAAAAGTCTTTCACGAACATCCAGCTATCCTCCTGGCCAGGGGCCAGCTAGGGCAGCGCGTTGCCAGGAGAGCAGAGATATCTCCATTCGAGATTCTACAGGGGTCATGTTCTGATATGTAGCGGAAGTAAAAGTCCGTTGTTGAACTCGAAGGAGTTACTGGAAAACATTGCACTGCGATCACACCTGATTACACTTCTGATCGTCTGATTCGACATTTATCTCTTCATCACGCTTGATCGGTCTTGAAAAGGAGCGCGACTGTGATACCAGTGTTTAGAGCAAAGGTCTCTCGATAAGTGAAAAGATTTCTCCCGGAAGCGTCACGCTTTGCTTACGATAGGGTCATGAAGATCCTTGGGTTCATGCCGAATTCGAGAATTCGATCACTCAGGTATGGCACCGGCGACCGGTTAAAGCTCCTAAACCTGGTCGTGGATCCGCTTCTGAGTCATCAGGTGTTCATCGCCAGTCAACTTCAACCAAGCCAATGTTATTATCATCTTTGCGTCCTATCTCAACGTGGTATACATAGTACGTATCAACAAACTAGTACTGACGATAGTTATCAGATTAACCGCTAGATCGAACTGATTCTTCGACCTTCGAGTTCTTTCAAGATCATAGGGGCACTCAGAAACCTACACAGGAGCCATCGCAACAAATCAGACGATTCGGTCAGGCTGGTCAGGCTTGCTTAGCTCTGGGGTATGCATATCTGTGCGAACGTGAACGGAAGACGGCGGTGGAGGATGATGCGTGTGATCAAAAGTCGGCCCCGTATCTGAGGCAATTCAGGAGAGAGCGAAGTAGCTGGCTTCTCCCAAGGGATACAAAAAGAAGCCATCCTACTGACGAATAATTCGAATGATCCGCGTCTCTCTCCAGTCCTCCTCTTAAAATTGTAGCTGCTCTTTCCTAAGCATCGTGTCCCATATATCACCACAAAACTTTACTATCGCCTTGCACATTTAGAGCTGTCCAACGGCAAATCTCTTGACGTTGACACTTCAAGAAGCACAGCCGGCTAAAGAGACTACATTCCATCGACTGACATTGGTCATAGAGGGCTGTCGTGAGTTCGCCTATCCCACGTTTCCCGTAGCAACGTCAGCTCTTTCTGAGCTCTTGAGTCTCCTCTAATGTATAGTCTTGGAGTACCCAGTCTTCATTTCCAACGGATCTCAAGTCTCCCCTTATGTCTTTGTCACCTATAACTAATCTTCTCTCTGGGACCTTGTTGCGCTTACAGACACTACCTCCGGTTACTGCACCGCGATTTCCCGAATACGGCATGCTTGGCCTTCGGTATGAGGCAGACTCATTCTACGATGGCCATACACTTACGGGGCTGTGTATTGAACCCTCCGTGGCGCAATACCTACTGTATCGCTGACTATTCAAAATGTTCCATTGGTGGGAGGTCATGAGCGGTCCGTCCTCCTGAGATCCGCGTCGGTCGACATTGTAGAGCCCAGTGGTAATACCCGCACAAGCAGCAGGCGTGCGTGTTGTTTCTTTCCGCTTTTTTAAAGGTGGGGTCCTTCGATATTTATTGTGGGGTTTTACTATGTATCCCATATCACGCTTCGAGATTTTGATCTGGCGCATAAGCCAATAATACCTAGCAGTTCTAGTCTGGCTCACCCGGTGAAGTAGGTCCTGATCGGTGTCATGATGGCGTGGACCCTCGCCCCGCTCCGCAATTGAACATCGACATCTCATCATCTTGAGGAGACCTTAGTTAGACGCAATTTTGGGTAGGTCACCCTCTGGATATTCTCATATATATAGCTGATGGGGGATCTATAAGAGTGGTATCCCTTGATGAGCCTGCCACGTATTGGCTCACCGTGCCGCACCGAAAATAAGAAAAGAATTACCATCCGTTCCCATACCGATACTGGTCGTACAAAAAGAACTTCAGCTGATTCAAGCCTACTCACAAACAATTTTCACTGCCCTTCTCCCGTTGCTGGTCATTCCCTTATTTGATCCACCCGGAAACTTAAGTCGTCATATAGCAGCGCGAGAGGGGCCCATATGTGGTTGGGCTTAGGTGAATCATCTGACTGGCGTGAAGGCCTCAACACTTGTGCAAGAACGCGTTTTCTAGCTGGCCAAAATCACTATAAATTCGCGAAGTCTAGAGCTATCCTCGTCCCATCTCCTCAACACCTCAGCTTTTCATAATATTCATTTCTCATCTTCCCTTTTAAAACTATTAGTCTACTACGCCTAGTATTCCTCATCTATTACCTTTCCCTAATACCTTACACTCGTCTTTTTTCCTCGCTCGCTCTCACCTTATCAAACTTACCATCTCTTATAGCAATCTTTGCAGAAACCTCGATCACTGAATTTCTTCCCTGCCTCTTTCTTCCTCGTCTTCTACGTCGTTTGATAGAAATTGTTAACAAAGAAATCACCCTTATCATCGCCCCTCTTCATCATGTTCGAAAAGATTCTCCAACACCTAGTTCAATTTTCAGATGACTTGCAAAACGAATCTAGACCTACGATCGACTGTGGGGTATTAACCCAACTCCAACGCATTCATGTTTCGCACGCCAATGAGCCGAAGTACAGCTCAGACTGGGATCCATCTCTTCCTCTTCCATATCCATCCTCTCCACACGATTCTTTTGATCCCCTTCTTTTCTCACGCGATGGAACCCAATTTACTCTATGTCAACAAACCGTTGACGCCCAGATCCAGGAGGTGAGCTTGCGATTTTCATCTATGACATTGATAATGGACTGACAAACTCTCAGATCACTACCTGCCGACCTGTCCAGATGACAGGATCCGATCATCCAGCTGTGTCCTATATCGGCTCGGGAGTAAGTCTGAACTAGGTCTTCTTCACGCGCAAATGACTGATGCCAACACACCCGTTTCGGTGATGTTAGCTACTGAGCGCTACGCGGAATGCGAGTGGATCGTGCTCATCCACGGACAAGAGCCTCTCCGGCTCAGTCGGTTCGCCCCCCTTTACCACCAACCGGAGGGGCCCTGGTTTTGGTTCCCAAGCCGCCTCAGCATGGAAGGCTCAGCAGATAGCTCAGGAGGAAGCCGCCGATGAAGCTCAAAAAAGGATGGCTGACAAATTGGTAGATGAGTCTATCATCCCTTCACAAGACCCTTCCTCGCGACCTAAGTCGATCAACGTCTTCGTGGCCAACTTCCCTGCTCATTGGGGGAAGAGTGATCTGTGGGATCTGTTCGAAGGGATCGCAATTGCATCAGTAAATTTGCCTTTTATTCTCTTTGTATGCATATAGTGGGCTTATGTATGTGACTTTTCCTCAGGTGCATGTGATTACGGACAGCGGAATGGGTGGCGATGCAAACGCGAGTGGGGGAACGGGTTTCATCAAGTGAGTCGTGAATTTGAAGTTGAATTTTTTTCGATTTAAGACTGATCCTGGTAACACCATTTCATCTACTATTAGTGTGATTCGACGAGAAGACGCCGAGGCTTTGCTCGGCTTGCTGGACAAGAAGATCTGGCTGATCGAAGGATCCGCTCTCAAGTTCCGGGCTGCGAATTCTTCAGCACCCACCGAGTGAGTCAAGTTCTTCGATTATCGTTATCTTGTTTCCAGTCTTTTTCGTGTGATCATGTTGACCTCATCATCTGTCGCCGTTTCCGTAGGATGATCCATTCGCATCCACCCCACAGGAACCGGACCATCCGACGCCACCCTCACAAAGTCTTGGATCGATTACGATCCGAGCAAATCACCGGGTACAGACAGGTAGGTGCCTGCGACAGGCACCAAATCGTGATCTAGTAAGCCTATCTTATATCTCCTTCTGCGTTGGCAAATCATTCCTTACGATTACTCGAATCTTTCTAGCAAATCGGTGTCGGCCGACAAGATGCCGACGCTGGCTGTTGTGCACGGCAGCAGGCAGCGCAACAATAACCTTACATGTGCAACCCCCGAATCCACCTTCCGACATCCTCACCAGCCCCGAACGTTGATCGACGAGCTGAGGACGTATCTCAGCCGGTCAAACCGGTACAATAACCACTACACAAACGTCCCTGCTCCTCCCGTCACCCGCTCGGCTTTCGGTTTCACCCAAGCGAGGCCTACCACTCTCAGACATCCACGCCCTACACCTGCGACTGTTCTTCCGCTAGCTACGATGTCGACAAATATTCCAGCTCCTCGATCTCTAAGGCTCGCTGGATTTCTCGAAGTAGGGGGTGCACAAGTCGGCTATATACCACAGGCATCTGGTGTAGCATCTTGCTACGTCACACCCTACACGGTCTTCCCACGACTACAGCCCATCAATGCTCCTGGGTATATCCGCACTTCAGGCTACAGAGGCAACGAGGAGAATTATCCTGAATTTTCTTGGATGCCAAACTGAAAATGAGGATCAGGAATTAGTTGGAGTGAACGGGAAAAGGGTAGATATCGGGGGTTTCTTGTGGTGGATCGATTCGTATGCCCTTTTCATCTAAAGCAGTACCATATAGCTCTAGTTTCATTTAGAGAAATTTCATCTATGTCTTTGTGGCATCTATAAATATATATATATGTATCATTGTATTTCATTTACTTTTTCTCCTTTATTTTTGTTGATTGTATCTGTTAGTGATTCTTGAAAAGTTTGATGTCATGTGTTCGTGGCTTTGTCTTGTTTCCTTTCTCACTATTTTTTTTCGAAAGTTTTCCAGGTTTGTATATCTCTTTAGTTTCTATCAATTTCTCTTTTTCAATCAAAAATATCGTTCTACACTACATCGGTCATCATGTGTGTGAGAATGAGGCACTCGGTCTTGCGCCTGAGGCTGTTCAAACTTTGGGAGTACAGGTATTGTTTTGCCCTTTTGAGCCCGATCCTGATGATAAACAAAGAGACTGCTACTCAAGCTACTCCTTCATTCTCTTCCTCACAATGATCGTGGCTGATGTTCGATTAAGGAAGTGGAGTCAGCAAGATGGATGACACATGAAAACGACGAACTGCAGATCTCGAAACCATTTCGAATGTATCCGTGATAGCTTGCAGTTGGGGATGTCAATGCTTGGTCCTGTCGATGTTCCCCCAAAGACTCGGATAGAGAATGTTGGATTCCTCGCCAGCCAGCGTCAAGGTATCTCGCAATTAGCTTCACCGAATCTCCATCATTCCCGCGTCTTTGGAATCTTCGCCTCATTCCCCGTTTCACCTCTATCTCGCCTGTTCTAGCCGCTCTAGATTTCTCGCAGAGCTCATAGGACTATTCAGTCTACTTGTTTTCTAGGTTTCTTCCCACCCAAAAAAGGAAAAAATATCGAACTTACCGTTCCGAAAAACATTAATAACTCTTAGTCACAAAAAAATTTAGTATCCTCATGTGCTTTTTGCCCTTCACACATACTATAACACTACGTGACGTTTTCAATTAATTAATTTTGTATAACAATTGAAGTAATGATTATTTGGGTTATCTCATCTTAGACATAATCCTTCTCTTATTCTTTTCTCGTCTGATATCTATCTCATCATAATCTTACTAATCCTATGATATCATTGCTGTGTATTAAGATATGATGTAATCCTTGTTGACCGTTTTCTTTGGTATAAATTGGTGCTGTTGTCCTCATTTTGTATTTCTCTCTTCACCGATTTTTACCTTCAATTCGAGCAGGTAACTACTGCTCTCTTCGGTCTTAGAGATTGTAATCTCTTCTTTAGCTGATATCAGCATCTCCTCAGGTAACTACTGCTCTCTTCGGTCTTAGAGATTGTAATCTCTTCTTTAGCTGATATCAGCATCTCCTCAGTCTTATAGCCAACTCGCAATTATAACTACTTTCCTTTGTCTCTACTAAAGTACAAACCCCCTACCACTAATATACTTGTCATCACAACCATAATTTCGTTTATTTGCCTAGTTATAGGTACTACAAGAGTTCGACTTCAAGTCTAGAAAAAAAGATGTTTTTCATGATTCTCTTCTCGTGTCCCCCCAAATTTTCACCTTATTTACTTATTAACTTGCCGTTATTTCGTGCATTCGTATCTTGTTTTCAGACCTCGTATAGATATCTGTTTGTCTAATTATGTTATCTTTGTGAGCGCATTGGCCTCTGGCCTCCCCTAGAGGTTTCTTTATTTTTAAAGTCATAGGTCCTCGATGTTTTCTATCCTCCTCAACAAGTTTTTTAGTAATACAAGAGAACCTCCATTCGTGCGTGCGCTCCGCGGCAAAGCGAGTCACTCATGAGAGAATAGCCACATTCATTGCAGCTCATTCCAACTTCATCAACTCAGGCATCCGCAGACAAGATATAGGAGTATCTACATTTACCATCGCTCATATCAAGTTCACTTCTGTTTAACAACAATATTTCCTTCATGTAAATGCAGGGTTCCCTTCTTCTCGATCCTAATTCTGCATCACGCCAATATGAATGTCACCAGATATCACCTCAATGAGTTATGATCCTTGAAATTTTTGAATTTGAGTGCAAGTCGCGAGACGTGTGATGTAAGAAACTGATAAAATTTACACTGGATTACCCTTGGATCTGGCAGAATTTCTGTCACTGAGACTAAGATATTGGATTCTATCTCAAAGTTCCTCAAAAAATGGTTAGACTCCCCGGATAGGTCATCCAAGCTTTTCAAAGTTCATGCCGAAGCATTTGTTTTGACCCGGGGTTGATGCTCTTGCAAAACCCGGTACTGACCACTATACCGCGCACATGTAGCACCGTACGTATGTACATACGTCAGTTCTTTCCAGATAGTCACAGAGGTGATCGAGTCTTCGAGGATCTCATCAAAGTTCTTCAATTATAACGAATCCATGGTTTGTGTTTTTATAACTCAAGACGCTTATATATGTATATGAAGCTTATCCGAGCACTTCTTTTCGATGCGCAAATCACGAACAGTCCAACACCCTTCGTCCTTATTTGGCCTGTGTCCGGGCAACGCTCACGGCGGCCCTCACGCTCGAAGACTTTGCCTGTCAAGTTGGTCTATCTGATTAGACGAGAATATCTTGTTGTCAAACCTTGCTGACGGACGAAATGGACTGGGAACTCTGCAGGTCGTTGAACGTCATAATCGACCTGAAGTAGAAGCTGGGTCAGTACTGAGTCTCATGTTTCCAAGGATAAATTACGAAATGAAGGAGAAAGGAAATGAGCCGACTCTGACGAATCCTTTTCCCCCTTGTGTAACTGTGATGGAGGAACTTTTGAAGAAAAACACCCGAGGTTTTGCTCACACCAATGACTATATCACGTACACCTTCGGAATACGTGTTGATTGAACCATCAATAAACTCTGTTAGGCTGAGCATCAAGATCAAACAAGCTGATGACATTGAACATATTCTGTTGGGTTCCCTGTCTAGCCTTTCGATCAATTTTCAATTTGAAGCTGATTCCCACTCTTGATCCCGTTACACCATTAGCGCGCGAGGGGTGACGAGATTTTTGAGCCTTAGAGCAGAAAACTTTGTCATCTTGAGACGGAAACCGGTTAAGGGTTTCGACATCAGCTTCTTGATCACTAGTCATAATCTCGAGTCGATGATCCGCGCAAAATTAGTCGACTTTATCATCCAGTTCAGTCTAACCTTGGCACATTCGATTTTGATTATGATACCTCTCAGGTCCATCTTGACCACACAAAAGCTAATCCATCCCCTTTTTTCTTGCGACGAGTATAGATTCATGGAAGATGTTGATCGTGAGATCAGTGAGATGAAACTCAGTCTCAATGCACGTGCTCGGATAGTAGCAGAATCTTATCTAGGACAGGTAAGTTTTGTCCTCATTAATCCTTCCTTTTGTACGATACGATGTCCTTTTGTTTGTGAAGATCAAATTCGCTGATAAGCCGATTGTCTGATCCCTTCTTTGAACTTTCGTTCTTTCCACAGTTTGTATAAAAGACAAAATCTGAAATGTGAATCCCTTGCGCGAGTGGCGACTTCATCTTATCATGAGGTCATGTCTAGATTATGGCTTCCTTTCATACCTTCGTCTCGGTTCTCGAAGTGAGAGGCTTTGTGTGAACATAGTAGGACTTTTGGTTTAGTATTTCTTCATTGTCAACATGGGATACTACGCTCGTGGTATTAGCTTTTTGCAGCGTTTCAGCTCCCCGGAATAGCCCAAAAAGCAAATATCTTGTTCATGCAGCCTGTATGTTGACTAATAAAGGACTTACTACCAACATCAGCAAACACTGGCCATGGGTTGCGACGCTTCTAGGCCTTTGTAGGGGTGGATTTTATTTCAATTGTAATAATTGTTTATGGAGGCTTGAAATGTAGTTCATTTTATATACAATACGAAAGCTTTCAAGTCCTGTCATCTCAAAAGGGTGAGGCATGCCTTGTAAGTCACCTATTAGAAGAAACTCAAGAGGATCAAGAAGAAAAACATCATCTTGTGTTTGCATATGTCCTCATTCTTTATAAACACAAACATCCAATGATCAACATATGAATGTAGAAGAGGAAAAGTGAGAGAACTTATGTGATTCCACCCCCACACAATTCCAGTGGAGTGCTTCAAAAACAAGGGGGCCCACAACCTGGCTATGAGGAGTAAGTGGAGAAGTCAAGTGAGATATGCATGATGCAATGATGGGGTGTTGGGACAGTTGGTGAGACCAGGACCTATGACAGGACTTTGGGAAACCACTTCTTTCATTGCACCAACTTATGAATATACCATTGAGTTTAGAGAACTGAAAACATAGCAAAATCCCCCAAATACAGGAAGTTCAGAAAAAACACAAAAAATAATGGTTCAATCCACATGTGCTATCCCATCATTAATTTATGGATGTTTATGGATGTTTTTGCCCTTACTTTTCAAGATCTTCCAAAGCAAAATGATCACAAGGGATGTTATTATCTGGTCCAAAACTCAAATTATGTCCAAAACTAGCACAACTTGGGCAGAAACATTTGGGACCCACCAATATGAGAATTTTTGTTCAATCACTTGTGAAGCCATTGCAGTTGTTATAATCCCTATTTTGGCTTACACTCATTCTGAGTACCAGCCCCCCATATAGAGTTTGGATCTCCACATGTTGGATTGCTTTTCCTTATGCTTCAATATATGTTATATCCTAAGACCATCTCTGATATCATATACCTCAAGCTCATACCTATGTACCTTACCCATCCTTGGAGAGATACAACTGATTATTGTATGAAGATGATAGAGCCAAAATGATGCATCCAGAATATTAGGATGCTGAATGTGTTGGTACAGGATTGACAATTCCTTTGGTCTCACAAGGGCACTGTCTGAATACATACCAGTTTTAATTATGCTCAATGAAATCTTCAGTGACATTGCATCCACTCTCAACTTGTGTGATATCTAGGATTGGGAGCTAGATCTTTGTTGTTTGGTTTTATAAATTTCATAATATTTTATTCATTTCTATTAGTCTCTTATTTAGTCCTAGTCAAACCAAACTTCTCGTATTGGAGAGGTCGTGGTTTCTTGGGGGGGGCCCCTCAGCGCTGAGGGGAGTAGGACCACCTGAGACAGTAGATGGGGGAGCTCTGAACGGTGGGCTAGGCACCCCCAGTCTCCCACTATCTACTACTACACACATAGACAACGAAGAATTACGGAAATTATATAGAGAAGAATACTTTTTACGCTTCCCAACTACCACTACCAGCCATACCAAACCAATACTAAGGGCTAGTCGTGTAAACGTGACCTTCCTAACCTACCATACTTGTTAAACTGAGTCACCATCATCCCTCCCAATACCTCGCTGTTATTCTTTTGGGTGGTGGGCGGGTTCGAGAAAAGATAACTGAGAGACAGGAGGGAGAGTGAAATGTGATAGGATTTCCTAGCCCAAGTGTGAGATATCTTGGGGAAGGGAGTCTTGACGTGTGGGAAAGAAGACAGAGGAAAAATTTCCTGTGGAGAGGAGGAATTTTTTTTTCTTCTTCTTGTCAACCCTATGTATGCGTCGAGATGAAGGTTCTCCTTGGTATAAGGATAACTTCCTGAAACGTCCCCGTGAGATATCACCTTCTTGTCTTGGAAAACAACGGTACCGTCGTGCCTTTGGGTACCGTTTATCATTCAGCTTTGGAGCTTACCACTGTGACATAGGATTCATTATACCCTCTCACCTCTCACACCCCCCCATTCTTGAACTCCAGGGTGGAATGAGTGCAACACGTGGTGGGCAGCACATCCTGACTTACACCCCCACCTGACTCACCCACTCAGAAAGGGACATTGAATACAACTCATTGTTAAGATCAATCTTAGTCATAATAACATCGAAGTACTGAGAGTAAAAGACTATTATAAACACTTGAAAGTCACTAGAAGATTTTGCAGGGACAAGTGATGAAATGGTGCCATCCCCTGCTGGCAACTCATGTGTTCCTGTTGGTTTCCAGAGTGCCTCTGCACTTGAAGTTACCAATTGCATTGCCCCCATTTACCACAAAATTGCTTTGGAATACAGAATCACAACAATATCAACTTTCACTCAAGAAGGTTTTCATAATCAATTGCACCTTCAATGATTTACACAGACAGAAGGTTTGATTCAAAACATGAGCAAGTGCCAGAAGCATGTCACATCACATGTTTTTGATTGAAAAAAAAAACTAATGTTTCTTGAACTTGAATAAGAAATCTTATCAATAAACTTGAGGTTCTCCTGTGTTTATTCATCATATTCTAAATTGCACTCACCACCATAAGAGCATCTCCTATCGTCTTGGTAAATGGCCTTGGTACGGTATATTTAACCATACCAAGCGTCAAAATCCCCAATCGTGTCAAAAATACTGCTCGGTACCTACTGAATCGGTGAAAAATCTGTAGAGGTCAACTAAATTAACTGGACCTCTACCAATTCGGTATCTGCGGGGAAACCATCGTTCTCACCAGTTGGTACTGTACCGAGGCCCTTTTTTTCAACAATAGTGGATTTCCACAGTTCTGTACCAATTGATACTGTACCGAACAACTACATACAGAAAATTTACAGAAAATTTACTCGAACAATAGGAGATGCTCTAACAAAAGTTACAAACACCAACCCAATACTGTCAGGATGGGGGCGCAAAAAAAATAACGCGCCAGGGCGCGCCCAGCAATCTTGAAAACAGGGTCGGCGCACCCAAAAGTCTGTATGCCCCGTAGTGAGAAAGTGGGGCTTTCCCTGTGTCTATTTTGTTGCAAACTGCATTTTAAGAAGTTTCCTCTTTGTCTTCTACTCCACTTTTGCAATGCCAATCATGTAAATACCCTTTATGAATTGACTTCTAAACCATTTGGTTCAAATTTCACTCGTTGCTCAACTTCCATGGCTTCAAGTAACATGCAACCTTCAAATATTTCATCTTAAACCTACCTGATCAGTAGCTAAAGTGTATCTAAGTTTAGTTAAAATGCAATTTTTCAATTTTTTTTTCATCTTTTTCATTTTTGTTTTGTTTTTGCACTGTGAGAGGCTGCACCTAACGCGCCAGTGGCGCCCAGACGCGCCTGCTTTATGGATAAATGCACCAGGGAGCGCCTTTTTTTTAAAGGCCACGCCCCCATCCTGACAATGCTGATCATTGATGTGATTACACAACCCCTCACACCATGGGACTCGATTTGTTCAAAACCTGATTGAGGAGAGTTGGGGTGTCTGAGTCCGCAACCTTCTTCAATTGTGGATTTTGTTCACAATAGGTTCACATGTCCCTTGAGCCATACTAGGCTATAAGCATACATGATATAACACATAGAGAAATAGCTCACTGGCTTGGATTGCTTTGAGGCAACCATTCTTCCAGTTCTGCCAGTGAGCACAGAGCCAAAGATAGGAATGGGTTCAAAGGTAGCTGATAATTTTAAAGGGACTATTGGGTATGTATATGTATATCCTTTCTACCTAAAGACAATAGACAGGACAGCTTGAGGGTAACATGTGATCCCATTATGAACATAATGTGAACAAGATCCACAATTGAAGGAAGTTGGCAACTTGGACACCACAAATTTCCTCAATTGGTAAGCTTAACTAAGCCCCTCTTTCTGCTGTTAAGATATTACACATATCTTGGTAGTAGTCAAAGACCATTTCCTGATTTGGTAAAAGGTAGAGTGGTGTAGTGTGGAATCAAGGGGTGATGTGTAATGAATCAAGGGGTAGAATTATTTTCACTTTTTGTGTCTCTTATATACTTGTACTCGTTTGTCCCACTTTCTGATTTCTTTTCCTTATCGAAAAGAATCAGTAAGTTATTTCTTTCTTTGTTTTTGAGCGCGTTTACAATCTCTAAATACTTGCTCACTCATTATCTTATTTTTATCTTTCTGTTTACGTTTCAAGATACTTTTATTTCTGTCTGTTCTTTAAACTAAACAGTTATCCACGCGCGCTCTTCTTCTCTTACGAGCACGCAGGTAGATTATCCTTTTTCTTACTTCTAAGAGTGTCAAGTTATGATGTTCCTAATGTTTCTTTTATTTGTGTTTCTCTTACTTTGTTGATGACTGAACCTTCACCAGGTCAGTTCAGTTATTCGTCGTAGACAAGCCTTGTAGCTCTAGTCTCACGCGTCACCTGTGCCCTCAGGTGTGTCATCGAAAAGAATCAATACTTTTATTTCTGTCTGTTCTTTAAACTAAACAGTTATCCACGCGCGCTCTTCTTCTCTTACGAGCACGCAGGTCAGTTCAGTTATTCGTCGTAGACAAGCCTTGTAGCTCTAGTCTCACGCGTCACCTGTGCCCTCAGGTCAGTTCAGTTATTCGTCGTAGACAAGCCTTGTAGCTCTAGTCTCACGCGTCACCTGTGCCCTCAGGTGTTTTCTCTGTTTTCCTAGAGCTTCATCCACTACGAACCCTTTTACGGTTCGAGCTGACACGAGGCAGTTGATTCATCTGAATCTTTATATCTTCATGTCCATGTCCTCTTTTGGAGCGGGGCTTAGGCATCATACCTCAACTTTGGCCTGAGTACAGCAAGATTTTCAAGTGCTTTTGCTTGAAATCCCTTTTTGAGGGCTCTAAACACTGTGAAACCTTGAAATAAATTCAGCAGAGTTTCTTCAAGGTCTTTTGCTTCTCTTTGTACTGCTTTTGGCCTGTCACCACTTGTAGATTGTGAGGAAATCTGATGATTCCAATATCACGTGATTTTGGAGGGTTCAGCCCGCAAGCCTACACGCGCGTGAATAAGACCCATATTTACAAGAACTCAAGAACTCAACTGTGCCACTTTGCTCGAGTGACTGATCAACAGAGCCCCATTGATCATGATTCAATTCAATCAAAAGCTACGTATCTATCACACTTCAAAAGAAAAGAGCTACTTGTACTTGACGCCCTTTCTGTTGCTGTTATTACATTTGAGGACACTGCAGCAATCAATTGAACAAAGCACATTGGATTTAAGAAAGAACTGATAGATAGAAAACTGCAAGACGGACACTATATACTCAGCTCAGCCGGCTTCGAAATTTACGGGGAATGGAAGTTGCTGGGAGCTGGACTCGTCATCGAACGTCTGGGCCGACCGGTCTGATCAGTCCCTGTTCCACCACGCGACAGGCGACGAAAAAGAAGTGTCCACCCGAATGTGCTCTTGTGATCACGAACGGGACTCCAACTTGAGAACTCTCAAGAGTCGAGACACAAGACATCTATAAAAAGGATAAAATCTGCATGGCAATGTCAAGATGGAAGGCAAGTTTAGTTAAATTTAACTTTCCTCGCAGAGATTTCCCTTTGAATAAAGGAATAAATTTAATAGGGATGTTCAGATGCGTGTTCGAAGCAATCTGATTACATAAACAACATATCGAAATTTAAAAGAATTGCGTCGAGCGGAATCAGTTTGGATTTGAGTCAAGGTTCCGATCCCGGTGCTTTATCTCTTCATTCAAATTCGGATTTCTTGTTGACCGATCTTGACCACCTCGAATTCGCCATAAGTTAAGCTGACCTACCCATTATTGTAGTCGACCACTCTCAGCCACCTTTGCAATCGCAATCGACTTTGATGTTGTAGTCACTATAACTTTGTACTAACATATGTGTGCTGGTGGCTTCTAATCATCTATTTTCTTTCTGTTCGATCAGAATCACTTTGACAAGGGTCAGGTTTCTTAAAAAACTTCGAAACTTGATTTAAATTTTACATAGCTGCCTTGTATCTCCACTTTGGGTGTGTTCGATAAAGGACTTGATTCTTATAAGTAACGGTTTACTAAGATGTCAGGTCAATACGGTGGATCAGACGACCCGTCAGTCCAACTAGTCTTGCCTTTTTCTACACGTTCGAAATTGTAAAATACTGATGTTCGTTCTATTTACGCAGTTGTATCCTTGGTTATACAAATGGCGTTTATCCTAATGGTACTCTTGGGAAGGGTAACTGGCAGCGCTTCAGTAAGCAGACTATTACCTCATCACAACTGTTTTTTGCAAACCTAATCAAACGCTAACCAATTTTTTTTTGTTTTTTTCCAGAATATATGCCCACCGAGCATGAGAAAGCTATTTGTCAAGCTCCAAATGATCCATGGATAGATTCACCTCGTTATGCTTGGTGGACAATGTATTTTATTCTTGCAGCTTTAGTAGCTATTGCAGTTGTTAATGCTATCAAACGTCTACACGCACTTAATCGGTTAGTCATTATTCAAGTCTTTATTGATCTTATTATTTTACGACTGGAATTCATCTACAAGAGACCTGACAAATTTCTTTTGATCAGTATCGTAGGTTTACCTAGCGTGATAAGTTTTAGGCCAAAAATCAGTGCTTATGCTAGATTAATTAGTTATCCTCAAAGTAATTGGCTTGGCGGTATCATACCCGCCACTGGTCCAAGTATTTTACTTTTTTTATTTTTACTTTTTACAAATCTTATTTGTTTCATACCTCGTCCTTATTATCGACCTCCTAACTATGGTAGCTCTGTACTGTGAGTTTTCTAGAAGTTTGGGTTTGCTATAAATCGATGATCAACTGATTTCTTGAAATTTATGGATTCTCCAGTGGGTTAAGAACTGAATGGGTAGCAACTGCAATGATGCCTTGGATATATGTACTAAGTTGTCGCAGGAATGTTATATCTTATTTAACAGGTAAATAAGATTCCAAAACTCGTTCTGCATAAAGTCCTTTATTCGAATCTCACCCTCTGCTTGATTTGAATTTATATAGGAGTTTCATATCAAAGAGTTATGACGATTCATAAATATTCACCATGGATTTGTTTATATTATTCAATTATTCATACTTGGACCAACATCATTAGAGCAAATCGCCAACAACCATGGTGGTATACATGGCAAAATAATGCGCTTTATCGAAACGGATTCCCCCCTTTGGTCGCATTGGCTTGGTTGTGTATTATGAGTCTTGCTCCGATCAGGTAAATTCTGATGAGAATCCTTCTCTATCTCCTTGAATTTTTCAAGTTACAATGATTCTGAATCTATTTCTTTACAGGGCAAGGTTTTATGAAACGTTTTATTTCTTTCATATGGTGGCTGCTTTGAGTAAGTACATTCAAATCCTGGATATCATCAGATTCTTTACAATAACGCTTACATGAAATTGTGCTCATCTTTTTGAACAAAAGTTTTTCTCATTTGGATGTATTGGCATACAGAAGCTTACCTCAACTCATTCCAATACTGTTGAGTTGAGATTACAAAAATCAAATTCCTTTTTACCGATACTAACTCTGAACCCATTCCATGTTCAAATTTGTAGTGCACGCGACTGCTGGACTTTGGGGAGTTGGCATCGCTTGGCGTATATTGTCAATCTTGGCAAATCAAGGATTCATTCTAAAAGGATTTCCAAGAGCTGAATTAGAAACATTGCCCGGTGACGTTTACTCAATGAAGATCTCAGTTCCACCTGCTTATCGTTGGAAAGCAGGTTCGCATGTATCAATTCGATTCCTCACAGTTAGACCCTGGGAAACACATCCATTTACGATAGCTTCAATACCTAATTCTCGTCAATATTCTTATCCAAACAGAGGCAAAGGATCAGAAAAAGAAGTATTATCAAATTCAGTATCAGTGACTGAAACTCAAGTAGATTCTCAAAATGAAGAGCAATCTGTCTTAAAAAATAATGAAATGTACTTTTTAGTTCAACCTCATTCAGGATTAACTAGAAAATTGAATCAATTATTATCTAAAAGACAAGGAAAATCAAATTTAAAATTACCTTGTATTTTAGATGGACCATATTCAGGATTTATAGATTCGATTAAATCATGTGATAATTTAATCATGATTTCAGGTGGAACGGGAATCTCAGCATTGATTCCATTGATCTTAGAAGTAAATCAGCAAGATCAAAAAATTCAAATTGAAGTACATTGGGCTACAAGAAATAACGAAGTAATCGAAACTTGGTTTTCTAATCAAGATTGGATTGAAAAAGTTAAATTAAATGTTTATCTTACTACAACCTTGACTGAAATTTCATCAACTAGAGAGAAAGAGAAAGTTATTCAATCCGAATCGGAATCACAACTTAAAGAACCAAGTAGAGTCGATCAACTTGAAGAAGGAATTCTTCCAGTAGTACAACAATCAGTGCTATCTAATGAAGATCTGACTTCGAATGAAAAGTCTAAAAGGTATAGCGTTAAAAGAGAGAGACCAAAACTTGAATCAATTATCGAAAATGCTACAAATCAATATCATGGACGTGTTGGAGTGGTTGGTAAGTCATTCTGTTTAATCAAATCTTATCGGAATGTATTTTTCCAAAATCTTAAGTCATGATTGCTTATTTCACTTCATTTTTTCATCTCTATGAAATTGGTAACATACACAATCAGTTTGTGGACCAAAAATCATGAATTTAACAGTCAGAAATGCAGTCGCGAAATCACAATTGAACATCATCAAAGATAAAACTTTGTGTAAAGAATTAGAATTATATGAAGAAATGTATTCAATGTAAAAAAACAACTTATTACGAAATGCTTATGTTTTTCTTCTCTGAAGTTTTGATTGGTTTTTTCTTTTTCATACCTTTTTTATGGCTTATGTTGAAGTCTGTTCTTTTTAGTAAAATCACATGATTCCCTATTTAGCTTTTTGTTTTTGTTTTTCTAGACTTTGAATTAGTTTTATACATATTTATCGATCAACCAAACAATGTGTTACAAATGAAATCCCTACCCAATACTCAATGGAATCCCTACTCAATATGCAATGAAATCCCTACTCAATCTTAGATCAATGATGTGCATCAAAACCAAGATAATAATATTGAAGCATTTCAACAATTCTGTATAAATCTATGAAAGAGTTGAGGTATGTATCACATCTGAGAAGATTCTTGTCAAGTATGATGATTATTTTGGAGAAATATAGGAGAAGACACCTTACTAAATTCTATTTTTTTTTTGGATTTTGATCTTGGTTGTGTTTTTTGCTGAATGTTCTACAACATGAATACACATCAAAGAGTGTAAAGATCACCATAAGTCTAGCTTTGGAAGTAGTTGATCTTGTCAAATTTTATTGAAAAGTTGAAATGTATGGTACTTTCATAAATCAGAATAGCTCAGTCTCAGAAGTGCTGGGCCAAGTTCCCCAAAGGGATAAAATATCAAGATGTCCAAAATAAAAACACCCTCCTTGACCTGCCTATTTGAAGAGCATAGACATAAAATTGGTGAAGCAGGGAGGACAAAGAAAAAAATCAAATGGCCAGACAGAACAACAATGAGTTGATATCATGTTCCAAATAAGTTAAACCCCAAAATTGACTTCTTATAAGAATCAAGCAATCTTCTTCTCTTCCTTTAAAACAAATATAAAAGGAAAGAAAGATGAAAACAAGAAAAAATCACTTTTGAGAAAAAGAAATCAAAGCCCCAATATGCAAAGAATAGTGGTACACAAACATGAACAACCAACCTAAAAGCCCATGGACAAAACCCATGACAACCCAATTGTTTTTTGGGTTTTGCCCAGCAGGGAAGTGGAAAACCAATGGACAAAACTCCCAAAAAAATTGGGTTGTCATGGGTTTTGTCCACAGGATTTCAGGTTGGGTGTTCAAGTTTGTGTACCGCTACTGACCAATCACATCACTCTGAGATTCAGGAAGTCCTAAGGCAACATGACCCCTAACAGAAATGCAGAAAGCTTCAGAAAAACATCAACCAGAAGAGTGAATAAATGCCATCCAGCTCCAGATTGGGCCAAAGTAGTAGCACCTCCTGAACAACAAGAATGCCTGGATAAATCCATGTCAAAGGATTTGTGATTCCAGGTAAGAGCAATAAAGATTCATCCAAATAACATCCTCCACTGATCTCTTCTTCAAATTGTTCTTGCAGTAGCACTTGATTATAATTATAATAAGTTTTGGTGATTTGGCATGTTGATTACTTCTGATGAAGGTAAGGATGAATAAGGCCCAAAACCCTATTGAAGACCTTTGATCACTGAACAGACAAAACACTGATTTGGCTGAAATTGTTAGATCTGTTGCTTTTTTTCAACATTTTACAGGGTTTAATCTTCAACAAATAGTGATGTTGATTTAAATTAGGTTTCCTAAAGTAATTGGAAATGAACACTTCAAAAGGCCAAAATCTAATTGTGTGGGCAGATAACACTACCTCAGAATTGGTAGTAAGAAATAGAAAGTAAAGAGAGAGAGAAGTGAATAAAGAATGGAAAATAATTCAGAATTTATTTCCCAATTGAATAAAGCTAACAGTCAAGGTTCCTTTGATGATCTAAAGAAAGCAGCTACTTTCTTAAAATTGTCCCATGTTGCAATGAATAATTTTGGATTAACAAATGAATTAACTGAAGGTGTTGTTGGATCATGTCTTGGATAAGACAGGTCATTTATTGGTCTTAATGAGCCATCCCTGTTGATTACTGCACCTAGAGGACTCCATTACTTGTAAGGTTGTTTACAAGTCAGGTGTGCTTGGGATATACTAGTATCAAGTATAAGGAAAGTTCCTTATAACACTACGGGAATTAACTCGTTTGAAACCCCATTGAGTGAAATTTTGGTGTGCGGGTTCGAAATTTCCTCAAATCAAGAGACTTGTTCACAACTTGTCAGCATTAGGTTTGCCAATTTCCCTTGGGCTGTACTCTGTACTCTGCTGGCCCCGTGTATGAAGGAGTGAGATTGTTGAACGGTCAGAATTAAAGGTTTTGAGAGTGCGGTGCATGTGTATGTATTGTAGTGCACTAGAGGGAAATTGGCAAATGTAATGCTAACAAGTTGTGAACGAGTTTCACGATTCAAGGAAATTTTGAACCCGGACACTAAAATTTTGCTCAATCAGGTTTTGAACGAGTTACTTCCCGTGGTTTAAGATGAATCCTATTCTTAGGACTGTCCTACCAATCACATAGAAGTACCAACACATCATATGGGCTTCAGCGTCCTACATGTTTTGTGGTTTGGGGTGGGTCCCAAAGGTAGAAGAAATGTATGGGAGTTGGTTCCAGCCAACCCCCTTCTTTTACCCTTTGAACAAGGACAGCGCCTGAGAAGAAGACTTCTCAACCCCGGGTGGTGGGTGGGTTTTTAAAATTAGATTCTTTAAGACTGAATTGTGAGAACTCTACAGGAGCAGATTAGGTGAGGTCTGGAATTGGTAGTGAGAGGGGAAAAATCTGGGCCTCTCTTATCAAACTTCCAGAGTTCAGTGCTCCTGTGACAGGCCTGTTGGTCCTGTCACTGGTTTGGAGCTCCGGGCCTAATGTCACCTGTGGTTCACACTGCTTCCGGATAATGGAATTCAGTGTATGGTTGGTGACAGCAAGAAGCATGAAATCACGGACCGGGTATTTTGTAATTACAACAACCAAAAACCCAAATTCATCAGTCTTATAAAAGTTAAAAAAAAACAAGACTTTTGAAATGTGTTCCGCTGAGGATAATTTTGGATAGCCCTCAACAAGACGACCTCAGATCTATCTTGATTTGTTTTGTAAATGATTTTTGCGACTTGTGGAACAATTTTTGGCAAAGTACCCAATTACGTGGTTCTTGCTGTCACCAACCATACCACCGCGGCCTTTGGGAACACAAGCAATTGATCTGAAGAAGCCAAAAACTGTTTCCACTTGTTGATGAGTATAGGCTGGTACGTCAAGGTCTTGCTGCCCAAGTGAGGGCATGGACCTAAGTAACCTCCCTTGTATGTCTGGGTACTAACTATCAACTACCCAAGGATATGAGATGGGATTGGCTCAAGAATGAAATCAACAGCAAATCAATTTATCAATTTGTATCTAGATGATTTTGTGATCTAGTATAATAAACATCAAATTTTTAATTCATCTCCACAAAAATCAAAAACATTTCACTTTGTGAATATCAATTTCAACTGTGAAAAGCCGCTTTTTGCAGTTTCCAGATTGTGAAATATGCATTCAAAAAACAATAGATTATGCAATCCATGATCTATTGTTTGTCAATGCATTTATAAAAGCTGAAAGCCATACCAAACAGGGCCTTAAATGGGTTGCATGAGCAAACCTTAAAGGGGATTGACACAAAGTTCAGTGGGATTGGCATTGCTTATACCATGACACAAAAGTGACTGACCCCCCACCCAGGCTCCCTAAAAGAACTTACATGATTATAGGCCAAGGTGAAGGTAGGAATCCTTTTCAACAGAAATGGTCCAGAATAAGTACTTAAAGGTAATCCAAACTAATTACCACAAGTGTATTCCCACTACTTACCCAAGGCCAAGCATAAGGCACTTACAAAATGGACACACCACTTTACATTATAATCATCACCGGGAAGTGACCAAGATCTAGGCTTGCCAGTCCCATTAGACACCACCTATTGTACATATATTATAAACCCTTCATTATTTCTACTTTTCTCTCAATCCCAACTTTTCTTCATTCCAAATTCATATATACATACATATTATGTACAATTTTCCTCATACCAAAAATAATTTATGATTGTCCATTCAAAACCAAATCACACAAACTTTAAACCCAATAAACAAATCTCAAAAGTACACCAAACCCCCCCACACTTGAACCAAAGCCAAACCAACTAATCGTCAACCCAACCCAACCTTCAGCCTCTCAACCCCTCCATCCTAATCTCGAATTCCAAACCTACTTCTCTCTTGTAAAACCCTTGTTCAATAATAATTTTCCCAAGTCTTTTCATCTAATAATTCTCTCATCACATTCCAATGATTCAAAGCAGAAGGAATCTGAGCAAGTTTTAATTTAATCGAATCTTTAGGTTCCTTTAAAACCATTTCTTCTTTTAAATCTTGATGTTTTAATAAAATTGATGACATCACTTCTGTTAATTCATGATTCATTAATCGATTTAAAATCCAAAACTTATGATTTGAATTCAATACGTCTGATTTAGTTACTGGTCTAAACTCAGGTACTTCATTCATTTTACAAAAAAATACCTTTAACCAATCAAACCAAGAAAAAACCAAAAGACCAGTTTCAATAAATCTTCAAAAAAAGACTATGGAATGAAAAATGATAACTCTTACCAAGTTTTGAAACTCTAATTCTTCTGGATTTTGATCCCGAAAATCTTTTTCACTAAACGTTCTACAAAACGAAAACACATCAAAGATAGTCAAGAGTACCATAAGTCCAGCCCTAGAACTAGGTAATCCTGCAAAATTCTTTTTTAACCAAACCCTACCCCAAAAAAAGAAAAGAAATTCAATCGATTTCTCTCATATATATTTCGAAAAAAAAGGAAACGAAAGGGAATGGGGAATGGAAGACGCTTACAATCACTAAAACTCCATCGATTTTCAAAACCTTTTTCAAATCGATCCAAAAGCTTTTCACAAACAAATCAGCCGGCACCATCCCACCCGTAAAAACATCATGAATAACGTAATCGAATTTGTCCATCACAGTTTCTTGTCGATCCTTCGATTCATCATTGGCTAAATTTCGATTTAAATAAACTCGAATGTCTTCTAAATAAATCCCTCCATTAGGTTGGATCATACCAAAGTATTCTCTTGCATATTTATAAACTGTTGGATCGATTTCAACTATGGTAGTCTTGATGGAATGTTTCATTAACGTTTTGGCTGAAACTCCTATACCTAAACCACTATTTCCTTCCCTCACCCCCAAAAACAAAAAAATCAATCCAAGAAAGTTAATGAAAGAAAATAACATTTAGAGTGTAGAGAAAATAAAACTTTACATGATTAATGCTTCTTCTTCTTGTTTTTTTGAATGAGTTTGGTTTCTTTTAACAAGTCTAATAGCTTCTTGGATAATAAATGTAGAATAAATCGATTCTGAATTCTCAATGGCAATTTTTTCAAGTTGGATTTGATTTAGATTTGAAAATTTCTTTTGAACCGATTTCATTGAAGGTCCAATCCAAATCCCACCTAATAAAGAATGATCTGATCTTAAATACCTAAAAACTTCACGACTTTCTGGATCTTTAAATTCTCCTACGGTTATTAAACCTGTGGTTGAGATTCTTCTAACTAACAAGTTTGTTGCAGATTTCGTTTGGTTTGTGGGTTCGTCTTTACATAAACTTTGGGAAACTGGAATGGTTTTGTAAATCATTAAAATCATCATTGTTTTGAGAATAATTATGTTTTTTTTGTTTGGGTTTTTTGAGGTTAGATCAGATAAGTTGGTTGAGATTGAGAACATTAAAAATGTAATGGAAGAGAATGAGAACTAAAAAATTAACAGAAAACAGTTTAGAAGTTAGTGTATGTTTGGGTTTCTGGATCGTGATGATGGTTTGGATTTTTTTTCAACTTACGATTTCACAAGGTTCGATTCTTGAAATGATTGTGCTGATCCATTTATAAGTAATTTTTAAAAAAACATGAAAACTTATACTTGAAACCGAAATCCAAACCAACTTAATCCATTGAGATTGATTCTGATTTCGATTTGGATTCCTAAACAACCTTGATTCATTCAAACCCAATTCCTACCAAAGAAAGAAAAACATAAAAATTAGTTTCAATTCTGAAATTTTCATAAAATGGTTAATCTATCTGTTTAAAAGAAAATTTCAAAACTAAACCAAATGAAAGATACCAAGTAAAATACCCAAAAACCTAATATGTATATACCCCAACAAGTTCCTTACAATCGGTTTAAACTTATAATCCAAAAACCAAAAAAAACTATTAATCCTATTAAAAGTGACATTTTCTTTTAATCCAAACCAATCAATCGAATAAAGTTTAGGTAATCTTTCGATTAAAATTGATAAGATACCAAAATAAAGAATCGAAGAATTTAAAATGAACCGTCTTTGATTTTGATGTTGGTTTTGATTTTGAATTAAAGATTTAATTAAATAAAGAGAGATTGGAATTAAGATCAAGTCGATGGTTTGATGAAGTTCTGTTTGATAGTATTCGTTTAAAGTTTGACCAAAGATTGGGTTTAATGATAAGTTTGAAACGATTAATGATAAGTTGATAGTGATTAAAAAGAAGATTGATTTGATGATTAGTATTGAAATCGACAAAACTTGATGAGTTCTTGAAGTTGATGATTGGCTTGTTGTTGTTCTTGTTGATTTAGTTTTGATTTGTTTATGATTAGCCATTTTGATGAAACAGGAATATCATTCAGGAATATCGAAGTTGTCATTCGATCGATCGAAACTTGAAATTTAAACCTAAAATTAAAATAAAATACATTTTCATTCGATTTCTCAATTGTCAAAACACAGTTTCAAGTAGTTTGAGTGCAGAGTAGTGAGTTCACTTTTCATTCAATTCACAAATACTAGCAAATACTTATAAAACAAATCTAATCACTAATCATTAAAAATCAATAGCTATTATCAAAATCAAAACCAATTCAAACATTAAAAATGAAAACAAAATTCTATATATATATATATATCCCAAAAAAAGAACCAGCCAAACCACAAAACAGATCATGAACCTCACTTTTTCTATCAAAAAAATGAATTTCAAGTATGTATCTATGTATATCTTTTCAAACTAATTTAAGAAATCAATCAATCTAAGAACTTTCAAGTTTCTTTCTACTAATCGATAAAGCAGTTTCATAAACCGTATACATCACAATCGCATTCGGAACGACTCTAAGTAAATGAGCAGGTAATCCACCATAAAACGCTCTGATCTACATTTCCAAAATCCAAAACTCTCAGAATTAGTCAAAAAAATCAAATTAGATTGAATTGTATTGTATTAAATGATCACTTACACCTTCTTCTTGAAAAACCGTTCTAAAAGTCATCAGTAATCCATCATACTTATAAACTTTACTTTCAATCGGTCTTTTTTGTCTCATTCTAGTTCTAACAACCTACCCAAAAAAAACCAAAAAAATCATCAGATCTCTTTCTTTCAAAAAAAACCAATTTTTTCCAAATTAAATTTCTTTTAGAGAAAGGAAGATATACTTCATGAGGATAAGTTATTCCAGTAGCCAATAACTTAGCAGACCCAGCCGCCAAAACCTGATTCCACCAACACTCTTGACCTTGACCCTGACCTTCCAGTTCACCACTCCTACTCTGATGGATTCCAATTGTTTTAAATTTTTCATATAAAGTCCATTGGATCGTACCTTCAGCCACACCTAAATAACTAGCCGAAAGACCTCTATAAAACCCCAGAAGACCTTCCTGCGAATAAATTCTGGTCATACAATCAATCGAAGGTTTCAAGACTGTTTTAATCGATGTGTTTGGCGATCTATTCGAAGTTGTGGTGGTGGTAGGTATATCTAATTGTAATCTAGTTTTGATCACCCAGATTGGATTAGTTGCAGTAGAAGTGGCAATACCTGCAGTGATGGCTGAAAAGATATGGACTAGACTTGAGCTTTGGTTGGGATGAGAAGTAGGGTTGAGGACTTCTTGGTACACTTCTTTACAGGTACCGTAGACGTAGAAATTGATCGATCTGGCTGGGATCGCGCCGGCTAGGGTAGGTCCTAGACCTCGGAATAAAGCTCGGAATCCTTCGGTTCTTTGGATCTCTCTATATGATAGTTTTTTTTGGTTTGATCGATCGCAGGGGAGTTTTTTGAGATGATAGAAATCCAAGTCAGATTTCGAAAAAAAAAAATCAAAAGAAAGGGTTTTTTTGAATAAAGAACAAGAAAAGGCTAACTTCAGCGCACCGAATCATTCTTCCAGTATCTTTAAAATGGTATAAAACCTTTTCGAAATTCCTTCTAGGTTCTAATGATTTGATATGATGATGATTTGAAGTGGTTTGATGATGATGATACATAGATGATTGTAATCTAGTTTTAATTAAATCAAATGGTGCTGTCACTGTGGCTCCACACATTCCACCTAAACTTTTTGATTTTTAAGCAAAATCGAAAAATCGAAAAAATTGAAAAAGTAAAAGGTAAAAAGTAAAAAGAATCAGTTCTTTTTGGATTTATAGAAAAGATCAAGTTGAATGATATCTTTGGAATGAGGAAGAAAAAAAACTTACCCTCCTGCTAAGAAATGAACCCATCCAGGTGGTTTCGGTTTCGGTTCAGGAATCAAAGGTTTAGGTTGAGATGAAGTTGATGAAGTTGATGAGATAAGCGGATTAGGTATATTAGATGATGATGAGGAAGCCGAAGATGAACTTGGATCGAAAGACATGATTGAACTTGAAGAAAGTTGAAAAGATTGATTTGGTATTAGATTCATGATTTCTTTTGGTTATCATTCACATATCTTCCTATATCCTATAATCGTAGTTCTGTTCAGTTCTTGTTGGATTATGATAGAGTTTCTTGATGTTTTGTTGACTTTTGATGTTTTTTGATTCTCGATTGGTATTTCGTTCAATTTGTGTTCTTTTCAACTTTTTTGGTTTCTTGGAAATTTAAAATCCATTTTTAGGTTTAAATAAACTTTTTAACATCCAAACCTATGTAATCACATACAATCAATCCATAATTTCGATTCTTTCGTTTCAAAATCTTCTTGCCTCGTTTGAAATCGTATTCATCACTACGGAAGCCGAGCAAAACTCCTCTCAGCATGAGTACGTTCTTGAAAAAAGTGCGGTGTGGACAAATATCAGGACCTCTGAATCAAGTAAAATAAAATAAAATAAATCCTGATTGAAAACACCAATCAAGTTTGTGATAAATGTTCAAAATTGGGATTCTAGAAAAACTTTTCAAGTTGAACACAGATTCAATTTCAGATGATTGAGATAAACTATATCATTCAAAGATTATCTTTCACATATCAAGAATTTGAAGTGCTAATGATTCTTAAGATCTGCTTCCTATCTTTTGTTCTTTCAACAAATTTCATTTTTTGCGGCAAAAAAGCCATTATGAATTACATAATTTGCCAAACATTATTCAAAATGCCAATTTCCCTGCCAAAAATAAGGGTATTCATGATTCAAGAAATGGCATTGGAAAGTGTCAAGAAGTGACATCCAGAAGTTGCTCCAGAAGTTTCTTGAGTGACACTTCTGGAGTGGGCTTGGTAACTTTCAGAGCCCTGCCAAGTACTGATCCTCATCACATCACATCCATACCACCTGATCATGCTGCAGGTCTCAGTCTGGCAGGAAGTCTTAAGAGGACTCAAAGGAGCCGCAAACCATGAACATGTGCGCAAAGAGTCTATGTATGTTTAGATTATAGAGTTCAGAAGTACTCCAGAAGCTCAAGAAACTGCTGGAGCATGTCTGGGCAACTTCTGGGTGTCACCTCTTGACGCTTCTCAAAGCCACTTCTCAAATTTTGAATAACTTGATTCAATTTTAAATGTGATTTCCTCCACCCAAAAAGGAAATTTGGAATCTATGTTTTGTAACATATGTAGTGCAACATACTTACTTTGATCAGTACCCTAAATGTTGAGATTCAATTGGATGTAAACAAATTCAATTTACTTTAATTTACGCTTACGATTTGTCTTTATAATGTGATTGAAGAGGCTTATAGTGAATTTCAATGGATCTCAGCTGAGCATTTTTTACATCTTGTTTGATGATGATCAGTCATTAGAAAATCTTGAATGTCAATAAGATCTCTATTCCACTCTGTCTTGGGCTACTTATTGGGAGCCTTCTATTTGGCAGAATCTTTAGGGTGCCTTTGGTTGACCTAACTTCTAACCAAAATGTGGTTTCTGACAGTTTCAGAAATCACATTTTCTATGATGTCTTTAACATGTCAATCAGAAGCCTTCTGGAGATCATAAACCACATACAGAATGTGGTTTTTGCTCAAATTTTCACAAGTGTCTTGTAGAAGGTTCTTATAGGCTTAAAAGATGTATGATAGCCAACACACATCAATGTTCATTCCAAATAATCCAACCATCTCTTTACCTATTGATTCCAAGGAAAGACAATCAAATCAACAGACATATATGTTGTAGAGTACAATTATGAAGCAGCCAAAGGTATATACAAAAGTACCTTCACCCACCAATCCCTCCTCAAAGCCAAAGGTTCAAGTCACCCAAGAAAACATCAAGAAACAATGAATTTGACCTGGTTCTTATGAATGGAATTGTTACTGTAGCTCATCACTTATAGCTCATTGATGCAATGGATGAGGAATTTAAAGCCCAAAGATTGAAAGATTGGGGTTGCTAGGTTGTCCAACTGGATATAACAAACACCTCAAGTTCACAGGATCCAGAGTAGGAAGATCTGGAAGAGCACAAAGAGGACAGTGATGAAGTGTGAGACAAAATCTTTTAACATTTATTGTAAAATTTACTCATTCAAGCTTCTTGTTGATGACCATCCATGAAAAATGATGTTTACCTTGATCTTCATTTGAATCACTTGTATATATATCTATTTTCAAAGAAATATCTATGCATGCAGAAAATTGGTTCAAGAAAACTTGATTCCTCAAAAACTAGGCTCAGAAACCAGGCAATACAAATGAGCTCTTAGAAATATTATTGAAGGAGAAGTTGACTGTCCTCTGATACACCATGTCCGTGTGGTGTTTGCCCATTGAAGAGCGCACACAAGTTGCCTTGGTGCCTGAAAGGGAGTCTGTGTGCACTTTTTTTGAGAGACTGCCACATGGACACAGTGATAACAATCAGTCAAGTACTTTTGATGGCCAGAAACACAAGGTAGCTGGTATAGGAGTACTTCTTGGGAAAGTGAACCTCAGACCTTGATCCTTAGCTGCACATCAATTGTCATGTAGAGTAGTCAGCTCATTCTTTACAGGAGAAAATACAAGGCAACACAAGATGACAAGCTTTTTCCACCACCTTTTGTGTTTCATCACAATGTGGTGGTATGCTACTTGTTTTAGTCCCTTCTGACATGGGAAATTGTAGTCACATTATCTTTCTTCTTTACTGTCACCATTGTGTGATTTGATGATAGCTGAAATCAATTGAAATAAATCTAAAATATTCACTTCCAATTGAAACAGCACTTGATCCCACATTTCCCTGAAAGGTGAGCAAGTGCAAATCACTTCAGACTTACATGAGACAAAACCAATACCCCAGTGTTCAAATTGGTTGCCATGAATTTTTTTCATCTTGTTTGATCTGAAGGGTTCTCAATCATTTGACTTTTAGTGTCAAATAGGACCAACACTCTATTTTTTGACTTAGAATTATGGGATACAAAGTTAAAACTGGGAGTTTTTTTCCAGTTTCCCAGTCTTCAAAATACAGCCAAAAACACAAACTGGGAAACTGGGAGAGCGTGGGAAAGTTCCAAACACAGTCAAAAACAAAAACTGGGAAACTGAGAAAAAAATCCCAGATTTAACTTTGTATCCCACCAATGAACATGAAAATAGTCAATTCAAAATATTTCATTGTTCCTACCAAAATGTGAATTACAGCCGATGTGAGAAATAATGGTTTTTTTTTTTTTGTCTCCCAGATTTTACTGCTTTTCTGACTTTTTGTTTTTTGGGGCTTTTGGACTGAGCAGTGGGTGAGCATCTCAATTGCCTCTTGCACATCAATCTTTATACCATGGTCTCGAATTGCTCCTTCCTCGTCCGAGCAGGATTTCTAATCAACAATCCCTCGTTCGAGACTCACGAACTCACCACCCACTGCACTGCGATGAAGTTGCCGGCCGGAACTTCAGATGGCAGCTGGAACTGCGATTACAATTTCTTTTCTTGGATTCCTTTGACGACGTTGTTATCAACCAAGAACACAATCCATCCCGCTTCACCTCCATTTCTTTCATCCCACTTTTCGGTCGCTGATACGCCTTGGTTCATCATTCTCTTTTTCTTGTCATTTCACTCCTTTCCAAAAGATATCATACCCGCTTACCCATCCCCCGTTTGTGTTCCTTAGGGTTGTTCATCATTCTGCTTTCACTCTCACTGTCAACTTCTTTTTGGGAACATCAATTCAATTTCAAGTTCAGATCAGTCAGTAATCAGTTGGTTCTCAGTTTTGATTGGATGCTGATGTACCTCTTTCTTTTCCCAGATATGCCTTATGAACCCATTCAAAATCTCATCCACGAGGACAAGAATGCCGATGAAGGTGAGTTTGGTTAATCATCATTTCTCAACATCATCGATTCCACTAGCTGATATTATTCACTTGCAGTATTTGATCCGCCGTATTTGATTGCGGACGGCGACGACGCCCCAGCGCGTCATCCGACACTCAAGCGCCTCTGGCGTCAAGGAACCGAAAGCCGTCGGTTGATGGAGGAAAGCCAAAGTTTCACCATCGGAGTGGCCTTCAAGATTCACACAAACGACATCGTGGAGGTCACCCCGGGAATGGTGAAAGCCTCGTCTACTTCAAAAGTGACTGCCGCGAAAAAACGAGCGCCACCACCTCTGAAGTACGCCATCATCAACTCTGCCGATTTCAAGGATGGACAGGTCTTAGACTTCAAAGTCTTCCTGTACGGAAAGTCTTTGAAGGAGTTCAAGGGGTTGGTTGGCGACATTTGTGACCGTTACTTCATTGGGATCAAGAAGGTGGTCCTCAAGAGCGCGTTGACCCCCTTGCTGAATTGGAATGCAAGTGTTGGATCAAAAAAAACAAAATTGACTGATTTCAAGTCTTATCAAGAGTTTGTAGTCCACTTGGGCAAAAGTCGAAGCTCAAAAGGTCTCATCAATATCACGCTTGAGAAACCCCAAATCAAGGCGAAGAAAAATGCTCAGGTGAGGTTTGAGCTATCTTAATGTGTATCACTTGTTTTTATAACTGACACATTCTCTTCGCCTGTGTAGGCTAGCGGAGCGATGGCATACATTCAAGGCACTGCTGGACCAAATCCAATCGCAGATGAACTAGCGGCATCTCAGGAGGCCACCGCAGCGGCTCAAGAGGAAACCTCGGTACGTAACCTCGACCTTCGCCTCGTTAGATTATAAGCAAGATTGTTTAATAATGGTTTTTTCCTTATAATCACAACCAGGTGGTCAAGGCTGCCAAGGATCTCGAGCTCGAGGCAGCTACCATTTACCAGGACCACCTGGAGAGAGCCCTTGGGGGAGATGGAGCGATCATCACGGCGCCTTGGGACCCAAATTTTTTTATAGGTTCACCCATCGATGTGCGTTCATTTGGGCAACCGCAATAGTAAGTGTCTTCCTTCTGTTCATCATTTGCTGCCCGAAGCTGACCTCATGTTGTTTTGCAGCGTGATGGGATCACCTCCCGCGGTATTCCACCGAACACCACCGAGTACAAGTGAGAGATGTTCAAGAACTCGGTTCTTCATAACAGTATGAGTGTTGACAACCGAGTCAAGAGGCGTTACCCCAATCCTTCACCAAGTGTCAACGTTTCGAGCTCAAGGCAACGACAGCAACGAAATTTTTTTGCAAACCCTCCTGCAGACGAAGTGAAGGTCAAGCAAGAACCTATCAGTCCATCCACCTCGAGACGCACTTTGGAAGCGTCCTCTTCTCGCACCCGAGTGACGGCCCCCAAGAAAGTCAAGTTGGAAGAATGTGAGTAGTTTCCATTCTGTTCCCCTTATGGATCTTTTGAAACACACTTTGCTGACACATCATAATGTTCCGTTACAGCTTCCGGAATGACGCCTGGGAAATCCATCTCCCTTCTCACGGACGAGGAAGTCCCGAAATCCGAGCCTTACGTTTCCAACTCCGATGTCGAATTTGTGGTCACCCATGCCACACTTTTGGACGACTTCTTGTTGGAATGTGATGTTCCCCGGACTGACCTCGCCACTCGCTCGGTCTTGCGCAAGGCTCAAGTCACATCTTGGACAGATCTCATCCCAAGCGTGCAAATGACCGCCAATGTCCTCACGGGTCATGGAATGCCATTCCAATTAGCCAGTCGCCTCATTGAAGCTGTGGAAGAGGCGAATGCTCAATATGAATATTTGCCTCATTGATGCGTTTTCCAAAAACTTCCAACCCGTGCTCTTTCAAATCGAGTTTCTTTTTTGCTTGCTTACTATCCAATATCTCAAATAAATTATCTCAAACACAAAGATTCCAGTATGAGTTCTACGTTGCGGTCTCGAATATTGAATACATTTATCTAAATCAAAGTTTTTTTTAAAGATTGTTTAATCTTTCAAAGTTGTGGCCTCCAAAAATGAAGAGTGTGTTTTTCATACACGTTGTTTCTTTTTTTGATTATTTACTCTTTCCCTCTGCGACATTCGAGTTCGCTCTCTTTGTAATCGGCCTTGAGGGCTTTTTTTGAAATGTCAGGCTTGAATGTTATTGTTTGTTGAAAAAACAACTGAGGTCCCCAATTGTTAAATGCAGACGCTGTGCTCGGCACAGCCCGAGCACGGATGTTTTATTCTAACCTTCCGACGTAAGAATAAAACATGTGAACTATTGGGCTCCAGTTCCCAAAACGAAGGGTTTCCCAAAGCGAAGGGTCAAATTGATGGTTACAACACCATCGAAAAGATCCAGAGAGCTTTTAGATCACACTCTCAATAAGGCCATGTCCTTCCGAGGGCTTTAGAGAGGTTCAGACTCAGTTCTCTGATATCTCTAAAGGCACGGGTTAGGGGGAACGCGAGCGTTTGGTTTCAAAACATCAAGACCAAGCTTCATTTCGTTACGATCAATGAAAGGCAAGATTTTTCAAAAGATGAAAGGTGAAAGAAAAGACAACATTGATTTAAATATTACAAATGAGACCAATTCAGATTGTCAAGTTTATGAACTACATATACCCACTGCCCTTGAAAAGCTTGGCGCACAACTCATCGGTAAACACCTCCATCATCGTGACCCATACCACTGCCCTTTCGCCATCGGGGTCAATCGCACCTTGGAGTCCCTGGGTGCGTCTGAGGCTTGCTTTAACCGGCGAGAACCCTTTCTCGATTGGGTTGAGGTCCGGACTATAAGCCGGTAAGTAAATCAACCTGACACCGTGAGCTTCACACAATTCCGCGACTGATCCCCCGTGATGGATCGGCGCGTTATCTAATACCAGGACAGAGTTCCGAGCCGGCCATGGATTCATGGCCGGTAACTGAAGGTAAGCACACATTAGCCAAGTCCATGCGTTATGGTATTTTGAGATACCACTCACCAAGTCATTTTCCAGGAAACTTTCAAAGTCGAGTCGAGAATAGCCACCTCGCTTGATGGTGATTGCCAATAAGCCATCAAGCGAGATGGCTGGTAAGGCTGACCAACGGCCTGCTTGAGTGGGCCTTGCGAGGCGAGGCGTACGTTCTCCAATGGGAGCCCGTGCGTACTCTTGATACAATTGTCGCTTCGCAATTCTGGTCTTGTCTAGAGAACCAATCAGATAGATGAGACCCAGGCGAAAGAATCATAGAGGAATTCAAAGACTTACCGGCAAAGACAAGACACCGACGGTCAATTTCGAGTACCCTCGCCATGTAAGCCCCTCGAGCGGCCAAACTTTGGTTTGCATGAACCGTGCGGGCTTTCTTTCGAGTCCAACACAATCGATCTCGTAGTTCGGTTGAAAGAGTCTTGATTGAAACATGTTTATTAAATCTTTCCATGATCTTGGTTTGGAGTTTGTCTAGGTATAACGTCGGGTCGAGACAAAGGCTGTCCAGGACAAAAAGGCGCTTGGGTCCTCCTAAGATTAAGGGTGCCCCACGATCCATGTGGTCCAAGGGATTCGTAACCACTGCCCGAGTTTCTTGGTAGAGGTTGACCCAGCGATGTACCGAGGTCAGAGCCAGGTCCAGGCCAAGGGTCCTGGAGATGTCCTGAAACCGAACCCCGGTGAGAGCCAAGCGAACCACAGCCAGTTTGATTTCTGGGCTGTGATGAGCAATGCGGAACTGAAAAACCCCAACATGAGCGATGACGGAAATGAAAATGAGACGCTGAATCCAAAGAAAATAAATACCGGTGGCATATCGGGGAAAATATGGGGAATTTGAGGGCAGATTGTTGAGGTGGAAAGGACGGGGAAAGAGGTCGCAGAGGAGGTCTGCCCAGTCGACTGACTGACTCCTCTCCAGTGATCCGAACTTACCAGAAGATCCACCATTGCCTGCGTAATAAGTATCTTCTTACAGATGTATATTCCGTGGGAAACTGTCAAAGCATTCAAGACTTCCTTCAGAGTTTCTCACTGGAAAAAAAACAAAAAAAAGTTTTTTCCACAAATCGAAAACCCAGTAAAATCTGGAAGTGAGAAAAAAAAAAAAAGTACCATTATTTCTCACATCGGCTGTAGGTATCATTGTGAGTGAAAGCAAAGGAATCATTGAAAGAAAGTTTAATTAGTTTCATCACCTTTTGGTATCTTGAAAAGACTGACCAATTTGAATTTTTGTATGGTGAGTCTAAATGTACACTCTCAACTCAAACACCTCAAAATTGTTGTGATTCCTGGATGTGATACTCTGTAGGTACAAACATTATAAATTCAACATCAGATTCTGCTTCCCAGACTCTGTGATACAATTTCTGTTATGGAGCTCATGCTTTAGTCATGTAGTCTCATGGTGGTCTCACAGTATTCTCCTGTGGAATGTGGGGAATCACACAGCGACTCTCCCCACCAAAATTCTGATTACACAGGACTTCAAACCTGCATCCCAGAAGTGTAGTAATCCCTTCTTTTGGCCAGTCTAGCAAGAGTGCCACTATACTATACTGGTTCAGGTATAGTTGAGTATAGTATAGTTTAGACTATACTGTACTGTACTGGGTACTGCCACTGGGTATATCCTAGTTGCAACTATACTTCACCCAACTATACTCAGTATGGTATAGTACCTCTGAGTATAGTTCATCTATACTATACCAAGTATAGTTCAATTCAGTATAGTTGGACCCTATACTATACCAAGTATAGTATAGTATAGTATAGTATAGTATAGTATAGTGACAGCCTTTAATCTAGGAAATGTTGGCATAAGCAGTGAAAACAAAATTCAAAAGTTCACATTCCTTTTTCTCTTGCAAGAGGACTGTTTTCTGATCAGTGAACTTTGCTCAAAGACAAAAGTGTCATTTCCTTGTTCTGGAAAGTTTGCTCTCCTCAAAATTTGTGTATTGTATCTACTACAGAAGATGCCAGACTCAAGAGGGTCAGGGATATCTGGATCCCTGCTTGCACACCAAAAGTTGCCAATCCCTCTCCCACCAAGCTTGTCAAGGTTAAACAAGCCATGTAAGAATTTGGGACTTGTGTTGAGTAAGCATTCATAAAATCAATTCAAAAACACTCTTGAAGCCATGAAGCTCCAGTGACCAGTAATTGGGGGCTGTGAAAAAGCTACATGAAAAATCCATTAAGAGAAGAAAAACAACTAAAATGCCTCAATTTGAAAAGCAAATGATTGATATCAATTATTCATCTTTAAATCTATACCAATGAAAAGTACTGGAATGTCAAAGTGAAGAAATTCTCCATTCTGGAGTCATCTTGTAATGATTTAAGTTGATATATACCAGAAAACCAATTCCAAAATAAAACCTTCAGTCGTTGAAAGTAAAAACATTCCTTTGATATTTCATTTGTGGTAATTATTTGAAGAGAAAGAGAGAGGAGAGAAACCCAGGAAGCTGTTTTTTCAAACAATTAATTAAAAATACTATTTACGTTTATAATAAATGATTCACAAGAAGTGTTAAATCTTGAATCACATATATATATATATACTTATATATATATAACATATACATTTACTTTTATAAGATTCAGATTTGGGAACACCAATCAGGATCAGCTCTGGTTGATAAATTTCTTACAGATCGATTTGATGAGGTGTTCTTAAATTGATTAGGATTTGATGCTGGGTTTGTATATGGTCTTGTAGGATGAGCAACTGGAAGGAATGGTTTAGATCCAGATGCAACAGTTGATCTAATACTAGTTTGATTTAAATTATTTTTATTTTTATGATCTCTCCCTTGAACAATTGGGTCTTGTTGCTTTTCAATGATTTGTTCAATTGGTGACTCTTTTTGTTTTTCTTTGTTCAATTTTTTAATTTTACATGATTTTAATATTTCCTCCGGTGTCTTCTTTTTCTCTTTGATTTCCTTCTCTTCTTTCTCAAGTTCTATAATCTCAATTGATTTGTTCATGTTTTGATGTTTTTGAGAACAATGTAATGAGATGGCTTCTAAGCTACGATTCTGTTCATAGTCTATTTCATCATCATCATCACAATCAACAGCCATCTTCTTTTTGTGTTTTGAATCGATTTCGTCAATAGGTACCATTTTCTTTTGCTTGTGAATTGCCAGATTTTTACTACCTCTGAAACAAACGTGCTCATCATTAGGTTGTTGAGACGAGCCAGGCGCGCTAGAGTTTGATCTTTTTATTAAATTTAATTCATCTGCACTCTCTTCGCTATCCTGTAAAACTTTCCGCCTTTTCTTATGAGTCTGATTATTTTCTCGGATCTTCTTTCGTTTGTTATCTGCTGATGATTGCTTTTCGATATGTTTTTTATTAAAGTATTTATTTTCGACTTTAGTCTTTGATTCATCAGATTTTGAAAAACCTTCTTCTGTTGATCCATCCTTGTCATCATCAAGATACACTATCTCATTGTTCTTTTTTGAACCGGAAACTTTTGGTCGTTCGATCTGAATCTTGACATCATCAGACGATGAGCTCGACACTTGATCATCAATTCGCAAAGACTCTTCAGTCTGTCGTGGTCGATTAACTCGCATATGATGTTTATTATCGCTTGCTACTCCATTCATCGCTTTGGCCTTTCCTTTCGCCCCCGTTTTCTCATAGGAAGACTTTTGATTTGTCTCAGTTAGTTTCTTCGGCAGTTCGATATCGTCTTCGTGCCCGGCTTTCTTCCGACTACCTTTCCCCTTGTTCTTATTTTGCTTTTTCTCCGTAACAATCTCCACATCACTATTATCATCATCGCGCAAATTTGACCTTTGTTTCTTGAGCATTTTGATATCATCTTTCCTACGAGGTGATCGCATTTGTCTTTTGATTGGTACATCATCATCAGAGTCGGATCCAGATTCAGATCCAAGATAACTTTCTCCCATTGGAAACAAAGCTGATCCGAAAGATCTGCTTTCTTCTAGCGTGTTCATGACCTTCAGATCATCATAAGGTAATCCTATGTCTTCCGCAATCAATCTCAAGCTTACTTCAGGCAATAAGACCCTTCTGATAAAGTAATCTGGTGATAACGGTTCTATGTCGGATTGTTCCAATCGAAATAGTCGCGAGAGTGTGTTATAAATGACTTCATGACCTCGGTATCCATAGCTGTTGGTTTAGGTTGGCATTTTTGAGAGAAAACAATGTTAGTGGGTCAGAAACATAGAAGTATATGCCCATGAGTGCGGTGAAAATATAAGGAAGAGGTCGCTCAACTATCCAGGTTGCTCAACCTCAAAATTATCAAATTCATTCACAACATTTCGAATTCGAACCGCTCCTTGAGCCGACCAAGTTTCTACCGCTTGATCCAAAAATCTTGATTTATTTTTTCTTGTGATGATCTCATTTAATTGTGAACGATAAGATTTGATCCTCCTTTGATCATCAAGGCAGACAAACCAAAAGAGAATCATATTAGTCTAACTTTGAGCGTTTTACAACCTGAATACAATGTACGCATGCACATACGTACTAACTTTGGTAACTTTGAGAAATCAATGAATGTGGGCCATCCTTTACTGACTCCAAAAGGAATCAAATCTCGTTCATCAGAATGCATCTTGCAACAACTAGCTGTCTCAAAGAACTTCTCAAACAAAAATCGGAGAGTCAGAATGCCATCGTGATAAAATGAACTTGAGAAGAGAACAAGTCCTCAACTGGTAAAGAGATCCCTCCAGGATTCTGAGGAGTAGGACGTTTCTCGGCATGGGGTCTTTTGACCAAGTATTGGATCAAGTCTGTAAGCTTCTTCGATGGTTTCTTGGGTAGAGGTTCATCACAAAACGGACATATCGAATCTAAAACCGAAGCAGGTACAATTCAATTCTCTGAAGCGAACCCAAGAAAGTGATGGATGATTTACTTGGATCAATATCCGGAGTATCGAGTGAGTAATCAAAAGACTGATCTGGACTTTGACATTTGGACCTCACTTCAGGGAATCGGTTGAACTCATTTCTCATTGAGAAGATGCTTGTCGCTGCTGGGTGTGTCTTGCTTGTCGGTGACGTCGGTCGTGAGTGCAAGGCGCGATTGAATGGTGGCAGATCGGAAAGCTTTGGGATTACCACCATTGGTACCTCACTGAACACCAACCAAAAGATACAAAATCATTCATGAGATTGATGTCAAGCATATGCAAGATAGATGATCTACCCATTGGAAGCCCTCTGAGAAATCGACTTTTTAGGACTGTTAAGGCATGATTTGGTATGCTTCGAGGTTTGGCTGTGCCTGATGGGGTTAATCCGGCCTTTGGAAGATGCTGCTTGTGGCCTAGAGTTGTGAGAAGGATTTAGGAAGATGGATGGTATTTTCTTGCCTGTGGGCTTTTGAACTGTAGTTTTTCCACGTGGAGGAGAAACAATTTCAGGGGAAGCAATAGCAGCATCAATTCTTCGTGCAAGGCATAGATCATCTGGTTCTAGTCTTGGAGCCGAGCTTTCGAGACGCGTAGGAGAAGCAATGGCAGCATCGAGTCGAAGAATTAAAGATTGATCTTCTGCCAGCCATGCGGGTGTTTCAATGTCGGGCTTTTCTTGATGCGGAGAGGAGATGGTGGTACAACGCTCATCATTGAGAGAGAAGTGTTCTGATCCTAATCGAGAACTAAGATGTGAAGCCTGAGTGGAAGAATCAGGAGGGGATTGTTCAATCGTTTGATTTGAAGGAGTCCAAGTGCGGTTTCCTGGAACACGATCACCTTGTAAACGTGCATTGTGATTGATAGGAGGTTTCAATAATCGAGAAGATGCGGAAGACGACGAGCTAGATTTTCATGACAAATTTGATAATGTAGGTCAGGACTACAGGAAACGTGTCTGATCAAATCACGTCTTCAAAATTCTAGGCAAATTTGCCACAAATCGTAATCATGTACTTACCCTACACCCATCGGGTTTTCGTCGAGCGCACGAGTTGAGGATCCAGTCGAATAGCCCGATGGTGGAGCTGCTGAGGAAGAGGCCCAGACGATGATTGCCATAGAGAACCAGAGAGGATACCAATGAGTTTTATGAAAAGGTCAGGTCAAATGAAAGACCCGCATGAGCCAATCGAATGGCTTACGAAATCTCTTGTTCGAAACATTCCGAGCCGGGCGCGTGGGTAAGGTAGAATTTGGGTACAGTCGGTCAAGATCCTTCCTTAAACGCCCTGTGCAGTGAATAGAAAAGAAAAATGTCAGATGTATGCAGCCATAATGTGATCTTCAATTCTCAAAGTTACTTACGATGATTGTCATCATTATATTCATCATTATCGCCCTCCTTTGGCTTCGAGATTGGAATTCCTTTAGATGGGCGGTTCAAATTGTAAAAGGTACTGGCAGAGCTTGGAGTAGGGTTACTGGAGTCTGCTCTCTTCTGGAATCTCAGCCCAGCTGCCTTTATCTTAGATTCGCTCATGGTACAATTTTGATCCTGATGTCTCTCCTCGGATTTCTACGTTTGAAAGTTCTTCCTACTTTGTAGTTTAGTGAATGAATGCCAATCCCAGCGATGAGCCACCATCAGTTTGCATTGAAGCAGGAAACCTTTTCGAAACAATTGAGTTGGTAGTTTACCGTGGTAGCCACTGATTTGGAAGATTCCCCCCGAGGAAAGCAAGGATCAAGTGTGAGTTGAACGATTAAGCTTGAATGAACTGAGTTGTTAAAGGAAAGTGATTTGAAAGGGTCAACAAAATTGGCATTGCTTGAATCACAAAATTATTCACACCATGACCATACTACATGTCACATGTGGGTCCGAACATAACGTGACCCCGTCCGAAAAAGGTCGCGTCTATCTTGGGACCGTGGATCAAATAACTCAGAGCTCGGACCTTTAGTATCCGGATCAGACTCAAGCCCGAGTTTTTACATCGCACGCAAGCCAGATGGAAGGAAGTTGTCCATTTGGCATAATCACACCTTCCACCTTAGATTGAGGATAAGCAAACAAACCAAATTGTCACTGTGTGTCCTAAGCTTTTTTAGAAAAAGATAATGACTTTCTACTTGACCAGTTTTTTTAGGTAGACTAGTTTTCTTGTCATTACTTGCTTAAGATAGTGTGCAATCTCGCACTTGAAAAGACCAACAATCAAATAAACAAGTTGAACACATCAATGAATTTCATTTCATCTGAGCTTTTCTCTTTGTTATCTGATTGGAATAACACTCTCCTGTCAAGACAGTGGTAACTCTGAATCAGTAGCTCCATACCTTTGATTGACCCTGCAAGTCTGTAAACAAACTTATGGTTACCACAGTCTTGACACAACCCACTATAGATATGAGAATAGCTCAAGGAACCATGGTGATTTTGCAGTCACAAATGACAAGTAAGTTTTCTATGTGCATTTTTACTGCTATACCATTTCTGAGATCCTTCTGTTTACCTTTATTATTATCACACACAATTCCCTAAAATGATCATTATATAGCTTGTGAATGATTCTGAACTTCAGTTCATTTCCCACTTTTTGATTATCTTCTTATCAAATCTTTCAAAACTATCTATCCAAGGTATTCTCACAATAATTTGTAATCTTTTGGTTAATATATATTGTACTATATAGTATATATTTTCTGTTCTGCCTCTCCTCTACCTTTTATCTTATAATAATATCTTTTGGGCCACCCCATATTGGACCTTTTCAATGCTTTGAGTCAGTTGAACTTGCACAGGTTCTTATCTATTCTACATATGATTCATACACTTTGCAATTAGGACTTCAGGCCCCAATTCTACCTAAAAAACTTCTGTCATGAGTAAGCACATGTCACCCAAGGCCAAGCTTCCCAGACCTATTCTACATCAATGGATTTCCATTTCATCTTCAAACCACCACCACAATACATTATAAAACAACCAAGACCTTGAATGTTTTCTTGTGGTACAAAAGATCTGATCTGATTTGAATCCACAAATATATTGTCAGGTATGACAACAATCAATGACAGATTCATGTGAGCATTCTGAGCTCAACCCCTTGAGTCTGACTCAGTCAATGCTCTTTGAAGTTGTGGGCAAGACTATTTCCCACTGTCAGAAAAGCTCATTGATTTGCTTGAGATGTTTAGACAAGATATTTTTAATCACTGTGTACAGCTGTTGTGAGAACTATTGGTAACTTTCAAGGTGATGGGTGCCGCCCAGTTTTAACTAGGGTTTAATCTTTGGTCCAAAACTGAGTGTTTTTGATGTCACAGGCCTGAACCTTGCTTTGGCTCCTGTAATATGCCTTTATCTCACAGCATGTGTGGTCAAAAAGGCGGCTTTTTTAGTTTTTGCCAACTTTGGATTAAACTAGAGAACATGCGGGCATGCCCGCGTCAGGGGAACTCTTATATTTATCCAATCGTTCCAAAATAACATACTGTAACTTAACACCACTGTAAAGATTGAATACAAATCATACATCCATATCTCTAAGCCTATTATTGCAAATTCAACTGGCCACAGTGATATGGTATGTACCAAAATGTGAAATTACATGTATCACTATTATTCACACTTGATGAATGTGTACCTCAAACCAGTAAGGTTACAAAAAGTTTCTATCACACTACATGAACCGTGAATGATTATCCGTCTACTTATAATAATATAAAGTGGTTTAGGGGGAAAAAGAGGATACCATACCTCTATGTAAAGCTTGAATCCTCTTTGGAACCCCACTTGACCCTTTGGGTGATTCCACAACATCACATTGCATGTATCACACTTGACCTTTACATTTCACCTCTCATGTGACATTTTCTGATTTGGTTCAGAAGCTTTGAAGCAAAAGATTCGAAGAAAGATTCTCAACTCAAGGTTTGTCACTCTTTTTATCTTATAAGGTTGTTTAGCATGAGTGTCAAGAAGAAGAAAAAGACATTCAAAATGAGTGATCACCAATTATGGAAAACCTGATCACCTGATTTGGAACGAGTTTTTTTGAACTTAGAAAACAATTAGGTTTATCAAGATTTGATGCTCTTGCTTGAACCTATGTGGCGGCTGGGCGCCAAATGACCCAGTACAATGATACTACAACTTCCCACACAAAATAGTGCTTTATCACTGATATCCCCTCACCAAATGGACAATAGTATCCCACTTCAACATTTGTAAAGAAAGACAATACTTGAACAGATGATCTCCAAGGCAAGCAAAGTTTTCTCAACCAGTTACTGATAATCTAAAAAACCAATACATGTTCAAGTTTTTTTTGTCACTGTGATAGTATATAGGAGTGAAAACTTATGCTCCAGAATTCATGATTCTGAGGTCAACCCTGTGGTCGAATCCATTTTTTTCAATTAGCATTTACATAATCCTGTTTAAATTTTCATCATGGCACAGAATTTGAAGTGGGGTAAGAGTAGAATGAGCAGAATTTTTTATCAGGTTTCCATTGTGATGAATTATAGTTGAAGAAAATGTATTTTTTTAAATAGACTTGGACACTGAAAGATAACTATGATTTGAGTTCAATTTATAATGATTTTAATTAGGAAATCTGTGATTATTGCCAAAAGAATTGTTAGGTTGTGTTTCAGTTGGAGTAGAGGCATCTAGGTGACATGAAAACTGATGATTCTCAGAAGAATCATTTGTTTGGTTTTGTTGATCAAATCCAACAACTTGAAGATAGGCTGGATTCTGATAATTTGGCAGTTCTTGAAATTCCCCTGAATCAGGTATGTAAACTTTCTTGGGTTAAGCTATCATTGTCATCTATGTAGATTGGTTGATCAAAGGCACTTGTTGATCTAGACTTATTGAGCCAGGTCTGAGAAATTGATATATGGGAATATGTTTTCATACAAAGAAATCGATTTTACTGCTTCCTTCATCCACAGGATAATAATGAACTTAATTTGTTTCATATAATGCTTCCGGAGTTTATTCTTCACTTCAAAAGGACAGAGGTGGCTGAAGAACTGAACTCGAGTCGATTTGGATACTCACCACTTTGTAGAAGTCCATAGGACACAAGACATTCAAAGAAAGCAAAGCAACAGGAAGACGGAATAGTTTGTAAGGTTGGAAAATCTAAGCTAAGCGACCAATTGAAGTAAACAGAGATTAAGAAGAAACAACGAGACTGAAGACTACAAAGGACCCAGGTGTTCAGACAGATAAGTTGATAAAACAAAATAACAATAAAGGTATTTGTATATATACTGAGTGGATGAGTTCAAAGAAAGAAATGTGGATTGCTTTGGGAGAGGGGGAATTGGTGTCGAAGGAATGCAGGAAAAAATGTGGTACTACGGGGCTTTTTATAGGGTAGGAAGGAATACATGTGAAGCGACATAAAGTAAATTTGGAGGCGAAGCGGAAAACCTTGGTGTTGGAAATGGCAATATTGGAAGTAACAATGGGGAAAAGTCGCGATCAAGAATTGTAAAAACCAAGAACAAAGAGGTTAAAGATGAAAAGATCAAAAGGATTAGAATTGTAATGATGGAGGTAATCAATCATGCGCCGTTTACTCAAAACACCAAAAGCAAAGTTGTAGATCAACAAACACAGTGGAATTGTGAACATGGTTACCGCCTATACACGGGTTGGAAAAGCACAGGGAACCTTTAACAAAGACAACATGGCACTACCACAATGGTAGTAAAACATTTGAAAAGCATGAAAAGTGACCACAATTGAATAAAATAAACCACAGAGAAGAGGACTAAACGGTACTTCATGCGAGTCGCTTGTACGTTTTTATATTTTAGATCTTGACACAACACAAGAGAAAACAATTTACTGTCAGTTCTCACAACCGCTGTAACTTAGACTGAATCAAGTCTTATATTCTGTTTTTCTTTCAAAGTCATAAGAAACATCTTTCAATAAATGACATCTTTTTTAGCTTTTGTTTATCTCTTCATCTCTCAATATGAATATCTCTCTCTCATACTGTCTCTTTCATAAAGAATGAAAAAATTCCAAAATGTTGTGCAAGGTGTATGTAGGCGGATACTGTGACGCCCCGTACCAGGACCCCGGAAAGCTCCAGGTCAACTATCCGACCTAAAACCACCCAAATTGACCTTTTCAATACCCTGTGACGCGGTAAAAACCCAAAAATTGAGGTCAAACAATTCCGGTTTCGTCGGTACGTTCAAAGAGCAAAAATCGCTAAAATTTCCTCACGAGATGAATCCATTTGTTTTTCGTCGGTATGTACGTTGAAAAGGGAGTGTGTTTGGCCTTTTTTTCCGGCCAAAGACAAATCCATACCTGTCAGGTCGGTACGTCTGAATTCAAAAAAACGGGTTTTTGCTCAAAAAAGACCTAAAAATTCCTTTTTCATCGGTACGTCAGCGTTTTTTTGGACCCTCGATCCATACATTTTAGGTCGGATAGTTTACCTGGAGCTTTCCGGGGTCCTCCCGTACCACCTTGATTGCCTGTAACTTTGGATACAGAGATCCACAAGCCGCCTTTATATGTGTTATCTACTGCCCACTACGAGAAAAGAAGATTCATGAATCTCTTCCTCCAATCCTTCACAGCCATATATCCGGATCTGCTTGCCCAAATGGGTGTTAAATATCCCATAGGTTTCCTGGTCAAACCACCATTTGGATCCCTCTACACCTCTAATCAACTTCAATCAAACTTTTCAACAACAGCTTCTTTCAATTGTTTCATCACCTTCTTCTTCCTTCACACCAACACCATGTTCAAATTGGATTCCTTTGCTCATATCACCTTTGATGATACACCCATTGGCAAGAGGCCTTACCCAAGCGCTCCTCAGTGAGTTTTTTTTTGGATTTGTTATCTTTGCTTTGGACTTTTTTTATTTACTGATTGAAATCTTTATATATGATAGGCTTATCATGCCGCAAAATTGACCCTCCCCTCATGTTCATTCCAGAATCACCAGGCTCCTGGAATATCACTGGCTCTCCTTGTGATCCCAGTGTGCCTCCCATTGAGATACAAAAGAGTGAGTATTTCTCATCTACATGCTTTGCCATATCTTTCTAAATGTCTGTTTCCTTTTGTGAATGATCTATAGGTGTCACCAAATGTTTTGGGCCACACAATTCCAGCTCCAATGTTGAGATAATCAGTGTCAACCTCCCTCCTAACTGTTGAATTGTCTCACAAGATGTCAAACCCAGTCAGTACTCACTTGGTCATTGTGTTTGACCATTTAGAATTGGCCGCTGATATGGTGGCAAGTCTCTTATTGTCCTATTGGTTTGCCTCCAACCGGTACTTGAGGTCTTGTGGTTGGTTTCACCTTGCACCTGCCCAAGGGGCATGACCTCTCTAAGGGTCTGCCAAAGAAAACCTGCAAACCCATCTACCAGCCAATCCTGCTCCCAGTCACCACACAAATGTTCCAGATCAACAATTATTCTCTCCCCGCCTCAAAGGTTTTTTTGTTCAAGTTGGCTAGCAAGGTTGACAAAAATACCTTGCATGGAAACACTCCCATCTTGAAACTTGCCAATGTTGGCAACAAGGTCAAGATCTGTGCCTTCACAGCCTGGCATAACTTCTATGCCAAGGATCACAACCTTCTCATCACCAGCAAGGAGTTGCTGAAAGGTTTCTATTCAGCACTCCCCAATGATCTGGTTGGCAATTGCAGTTTCACAGTTACTATGGAGAACCCAACCAAAGCTGCCCAAGCCTCCAGGGCGGTAAGTCTTACCGTGGTTGACGTTCTTTTGGGTCAGTTCCTATACTGACACCCTCTGAGTCTTGAATAGGAACTCACCAAGAGACAAGGTCAATTGTGAGCACAACACACCTTGGCTAGTGTGAGTCCCACCACCACTTCCAATGTGGCCCATTCTGCCCCAATCAAGCCTTAAAAACAATATCTCTCTGCTTTGCAAAAACATCACAGCTCTCCCCGCACCAACAAGGGCAAAGGCTGGCAAATCTTCAACAAGAATGATCTTACTCAGAAGATGGAATTGATGTACTGTCACATGGTCCTTTGGGCTTAAGAATTGGTGAGCCTGCACTTCTCCTTGTGTGTTGTCCCTGTCTGTACATGTGGCACACAACCTGATATCATATGTTTCATCAGGCCAAGGGAACTGCCAATGTCACCATAGACGTCCCACCAATTAAGGTCTATAAGGACAACTTCATCTGGATCAAAGTCATTCAAAAGCAACCACCTCCTAAAGCCAGCACTACTCCAATCTTAACCACACCAATGGGTTCAGTCAAACAAGTCAAGGTCCTTGAGGAGCTTGTCTTCCCCATCTGCAGCTATGATTAAATGCAAGGTCACTCCATTAACATTGATTATAAGACCTTATGGTGCATTCACTAGTGTGCGGCCATGAAAGCATACCTTCCATGGTGTGATATTGACAAATCAAAAATTGAACATGACGTCAAGATCTTATTAAGCCGCGGGATCCAGAGCTTCTGTTGCTTCTTATATCCTGAGGTATTAGATGCAAAGACAATTGCATCATGGGGAATTGTTTGGGACACAGCCATCAAATTAATTGTCCAAGCTTGCAAATACTATGTGTACCAAGTAGCCCTCAAACAAAAAATTTGAACAACAAAGGGTTCATAATGACAACATGCAATTTTTACACCAAAGCAAACCATGTAACCCACCTCTATCTTATTAAATTACTTTTCCATTTACCAAATTGTGTCTAGTCATGAAAGATAAACCATTATGTGTTTGAGGTTTGAAAGAAATCCATCCCTACTAGTACTCTGTTTCAATTTCAAACACCATCTTTGATTGATCTGCTGTTCCCTAACCTCTGAGAGCTTGCCATATTGCCAATGTCTCAAAATAAGCAAGGCACCAAAGACAATGTAGTATGGTTATCATAAGGATTGAGATCTTAAGGTTGAAGATATCAATATCATGTGATCAGATAATCTTATCTTACTTTGTCTTAATTTCACATGACAGAAATGCTCACTCTTACAACCAAGTCACCTAGCGCACGGAGGAACAACCCAAACTGTATTTGTCTCAATACAGTTTGGCTTGTGGTGGGTCTCTGTACCATTTAATCATGGTGCAAATTGACATTTGATTACAAGCTCATATTTGATTCCTTCCATATTTTGTTCACACCAAGGATAAAGATTTAAAAAACAATTGGAATGTAAAGAAACAAGAGATTCACACAAATGAATTGGAAACCATCAAAAGAAAAGAAACACAGTCACTTTGAAACTACTGAATCTGCAATCACTTCAATATGTGTTTGAGTCAGACCAACCATATTTCAAACTTGAACAAAACAAGTGAAAACCCCAGTGTAACAACTACTCCTGAGCTTGATGGTTGTATTGTTCCCAATACCGGTTTGTGGCCTAGCCACAGTAGGCAATAAAGGGTTGTAATAGTGTGTGATTCATTACTATTGCAGCTAGTAACAGCAGATAGCATGCCTTGTCATTGTGCTCATACCACTCTTCTTCACAACATAGTCAAGCCTTCATACTGTGAAAGCAGTCCTAAATCAGGCTCATGTTGGGTGAATAAGCAAGTAAGTAAACCAATAGGACCCCAGCTTCTTTGCAAACCTGGTCAATAAGACCACCGTGATGTACATGGGTTTTGTCCAAGACCAGGACAGAATTGAATCCTGGGTAGGGATTCATCACAGCTGATGATGCAAAGGGATGGGGGAATGAAGAACATGAGCAATGGTAATAAAAAGAGTAGCACCAACTATTATCACTAAATCTCAAGCAAGGAAAAGTTCCACATGAACTCTTTCTACTGGCCCTTGAATTACCACCCCCCAGATATCATACCACCCTCACATCCAGCCAGAAGAACTGTCCAGTGGTCTTTATTGGTCTGATCCATCTGGCCCCGACTTTGAGTTCTTTTTGTAGCCCAGCTCTTCCTTTGAAGGGAGTCACACCCAACAACTCTGGACTTTTGTTTGAGCAATTAGGAAGATGACCAAAATGATGTAATGGAACCCAAGAAGTAATGACCTACAAAACCCAAGTATTCAGGTAAGATTTTAGCCACCCCAAAAATACAATCAGTTCTGTCCTCAACAGACTGCACCAAGTTAAAAGATGAGAGTGTCCTAAACGCACATCCACCTTGTGGCTGACTCTTGCTTGAGATATAGGAATTCCAATGATCAGCACAAGTTGGTGTTGGAGTTTATAAAGGTAGATGGAAAGGTTATCATTGACTAGTTGAATGACAACACCAAGTTGAACATCAGTTGGTGTCAAACTAGGAAAAGTTGAACTCTTCAAGATAAAAATCTTGAACCGTGTAATTGCAATACACTGCTACAGTTTCAACTTTGTATTTACAGTTTCATCTTTGTATTTGGACGGGGCCTCCCTTGGACATCACCATTTTTGAAGAAACAAAAAAGCACTGCTCAGTGCTCACGCCCCTAATGTTGATAGGCTGGACCGGAGGGGTAATGTAATCGTTGGATCATTATCATCAAGAGCATCCAGGGCAGTGTAAATTTCTGATAGAACAGTTTGGCAACAATTGATTCGAGGCATACCACATTGAGGACAGGAGGTGTTGGCTGGCGCGTTTCCAGATGCCAAAACAGTTCCCGGTGTAGATGTTGATTTGGATAAGGGTACGAGTTTGTAGTGTTTTTTTGTTTCTTCAAATTTGTGAAGTCCGAGGGAGGCACCGTCCAAATAGTTCCAAATACAAAGTTGAAACTTTAAGTACAAAGTTGAAACTGTATCAGTATTGCAATTACACGGTTCAAGATTTTTATCTTGAAGAGTTCAAGTTTTTTCCTAGTTTGACACCAACTATCAAATAAAACATGGGGCAGCCTTAACATTGATAATTTTGAGGATCAATCACAACTCTGTTAGTACATTTGTAGAGCTGTTTCCAACACCAAACTGAAGTGGCCAATATCAAGGTGCAAAGTGTGACATTGTGTTGATGTGGATGTTCTCCATTACCTTCTGGGTGGCTAGAAGCTTGATATCCTCAGAGTAGTTCTGGAATCCCATCCAGCAGTCCAATAAATTATGAGAATCAAAAAAAAGTGGGCAGTTGGAAGGCAAGGTGATAAGCCCAGAAGAGGATCTTTTTTCTTTTTTCTCCTTTCTAGGCGGTACCCAAAGTTGGGGTATCCCATGTCACTTCTGGCACTCCACAGGCCTCAAGTCCCCTAACTTTTTTCATTTTTTTTCATTCTTTATGAAAAAGACAATCCATTTTTTTCAAAAATTTGTTTTCAATTAAAAATCCCCAATCAAACTCAAAAAAATATACCAACAAAAAAAATCAAAAACAGATTATAAAGAAAAAAGTTCATTTTATAAAAAAAAAAAATCAGGTACATAGACTGTGTTTGGTTTCCTGATGATAACAATATGTAACAAAAGAATAAATGAATGATAAAGGGAAAAGAAAAATCAAGAAAAAAACACACAAGTTTATATATAATAATGAAAATAACAAGTGTATTTACTTTGGTGTCCTTCAAATCAAATAAAGAAAAAAAGAAGACAAAATTTCATTTCCCCAAAAAAGTTTTTTTTTCCTTTTCATAAATTAAAAGAAAAAAAAAGAAAAAGAAAAAAAAGTAAATATAATCAAATCACTTTTTTCTTTTTTTTAAAAAAAAAACCTTTTAAACACAATTTCAAACAAACCAAACAAACAAATGAAGAAAATTAAAATGAATGAAAAAAGTTTTATTGAGGAACAAAGAAGTCTTGGTCGATTGATTTTAGATTTTCCATTATGGAAACGAAACAAAGTGTTTAAAATTTTTTCAATAAACGATTGATTGAATTGAATTGAATTGAATTTGAAAAACAAATTAAAACATCAACATGAAACACACAACACACGACAGGAGATTAGAACAAAATTTACAAAAACACATGTAATCTGAAATTGAGGAATAGGATAGGATAGGATAGGATAGGGTCAATGGGTAATAGTGATGGATGGTAGTTAAGTAGTAATGGTTATAGAATATCAATATAATAGTAATAATAGTAATAGTAGTGATAAGATTTGATCGATGAATGATTGATTGATAGCATGAAGAATGAAGTAGAATGAAAAAAATGCAAAAGAAGAATCAAGAAGACAAAGAGAGAAGATGAAATTTTGAAAAGCCAAAAAAAAAAGAAAAGTAACAAAAACTTTTTAAACATCTACATCCATTTGATTTTCATCTATCAAGACCCTCCTTCTTTGTCTTCTAAGTGGTCTAACTTTTTCCGGTGTATTATCTTCACCTGTTAAAATGAATTCTAAAAACCCTTTAGCTTCAGGTAAGATCGCACCTCTAGCTGTCGTCCAATTTCCATCACTAGGTACGATTGGTCTTTGAAACGGAAGGAATTTCTCTTCTTCATCATTCTCTTCACTTGATTTCATCTCTGTATCTTCTTCTAGTGCTTCTAATTCGACTTCTTCTTGTGTACCTGCTTCTTCTCTCCTATAGCCACGTTCCCTCAAATCTGCTAGTTTGATAAAAACTGGATGTCGAACTAATTCATCAGATGTGATCCGCTTATCCGGACACATTTCTAATAACCTCTTCAACAGTACCACAAGCTCACTACTCAATCCACTCAAATCAATCCTAGAAAAATCATTACTCCTCAATGCCCGCCATTCATCTCCGTTATCTGGTAAAGTCACATTGGTGATCATCTCTAATCCAATCAATCCAATCGCAAACACATCTGCTGAATCTCCATACCTCCCACTCAAGATCTCCGGAGCAATATATTCTCGATCTCCTTCCCTTTCCAAATCAAATCCAATAAACCTTCCACAATTCTTCAACCTCCTCCACTTTCGTTCATCTTGATCTCTGATATCAATATACCTCAAGAAATGAGTCGGAATCGCTGCTCTCTCCTCCGGAGAAAGATTGGGATCTGTGAGATGAGAATAAACCGGGTACCTTGATCCGACTGCTGGTGTGTTCCAATCCCTAAACACTTCTTTTGGATCGATTCGAGGCCATCTCATTCCTATTCCAAAATCTCCAATCTTCAAACCTCCATATTCTGTGATAAAAATGTTAGCAGGCTTGATATCCAAATGAAGAATTCCGGCAGAATGTATAAAATAGACCGCTTGGCTCAGTTCTGACATGATCTTCCATATCCTTTCTTCATCCAATCGTGGTTGGACTGCTGAGACTAATTCCAGAAAGGTTTCCAATGTTCCGTTTGAGCAATATTCGTTTTGGATATGTAGATGATAATTGTGCTGCCATGCATCATGGAATTGAATGATATAAGGTGATCGATCAGGTCCAGTTGTCAATCGTTTCAACAAATCAACTTCTTCCATCTGCCGTGACCTATGATAAAAGGAGTGATTCATGAATCAGCACAAAATGGATATCATGGGATTATGCAGTTTACTTACATGGCCTTGGGACCTCCTACAGGTTTCTTAGCCCTCTTGACAGCATACACAACACCAGTCAAGCTATGTCTAGCTTTGAAGACCTCACCAAATTCTCCGTTCCCAATCTGTTCAACCATATCAAATTCGGTCTCAAACTTATTTGAAGACGACGGGCCAAAATTCTCACTGTCCATAGCGTTCACTCTGATTTCTGCGCTCGAATGCCTCGATTTAAATCCAGGTCTTCGGCTAGGCGAGAAGGAGCTTGAATTGGCAAGGTCACTTGAATCAGTGATCAGAGGTTGAAACGTCGATGGTGGTGCAAATGTGGTGAAGAGTCTTCCATTCGGCCGACTAGGTGTCACTTGGGCATCCTTTAGAAAATCGGGTGTTTGTCGTTCAAAGTGAGAGTGCACCTGGAAAGGTGGAAGGACAGGTGAGCTGGCAACGGAGCTGATCGAGTTACCAGGTGACGTCAGAAGTTGAGAACCTGTGTACAGTCAGGTGAAATACAATCAGCATTGGGCTTTCCCATCACGAAAAGGGATAAGATGAGAAACTGAAAATGGAATAGAAAAGATCGTACCTCGATTGATCCAACCAGGTGCAACTTTGGTTGGTGTTCCAGGATCCTCCATCGCAAGACTATTGCCTGACCTGTCACCACCACTCTTCGTCAATACAGCGTCACTACTCCGCCTCCTAAACAATGGCGATTTCTTGAAATTCATCAAAGCCGAAGGACTACCAACTCCGGGACTATCAGCATTAGCCATTTGCATCATCGATGCCGATGGCGAGTCAAACGCGCCTTGGCCCATGATCGGTGTCCTGGTGTTCGATCCCGATGCGTTTGGCTTTGTGCTATATGAGTCAACGTGGTTGTTGTTTCTTGTCGAAGGAGAATTGCCGCACGAAGAGTTTTGTTCTGGAGAATCAAATGCTGAGCTCACAGCTGCTTGCTTGCTGAGACCTGATGATACAAACGGTTTGTTGGTGTGATGATGAAGATGAGTAGCCTTGTGAAGAAAATGTGGCTTCTTGATGGGAGTATCGGGCATCCTTAATGACGAAAGTGAGGGTCTTCTTGAAAACATGTCTGCTGTAGATAGAAAAGGTGAAGAGATGGAGGAATTGAATGAAATAGATTGATTTGAAACTGCTTGCATAGAAAAACTAGATTCGAGTGATTGAAGGTGTTCGCTTTGATCTTTCTCATCGGCCTGAATTGCGGCCTGGATCAGCTTGGGTCCACCCAGTGCTTCTCGCATAGAGCGCATAGCGAGCGAATTGTCAAATGACCCTTCAGCTTGACCGTTGAGGCTGGTGTCAGAGAGATGTCCGGTTATGGCGTATTTGACAAACGGACTGGGTATTCCAAGTTGCTGTCGACGTTTCTCGCGCATAGCACACCTTTTGGACGTCATGGTCGATGATAGAAAGGCGGATGCTTCAGGTTTACTGTCATGGAATGAGCCTCCATCATCATCTTGATCAGCAATGAAAGAAGTTGGGGTAGGTACTGATGGTGGGGAGAGTGGCTTGAGAGGTGGATTATCAAAGAATGAGGAAGACTTGTGGGTAAGAGGCATGTTCGTAGGAGCTGTAAAAGGTGATGGCGGAAGATGACCAAAGCAATGAGGGCTACTGTTTTGGCCAACATGTGTAGGCAAACTTCGTCGTTTGGGATCCCGAGCCGCGTCTCCATTCAACTTCTCCCAACTCGCTGGTCTGTATTGACCAGGACGATCATTGGAATGAGCTTGTGTGATACTTTGACTTGAGGAAGCTAGACTTGAGGCGAGTGAGCTTGAATCCGTCAAACCCGGCACACTGAGATTGCTCAGACCTTCATGTGATTCGAGGGAGCCGTTAAGGTGATCACGATCCTGATGGATGATCATCTCATTCTCTTCGTCATCCTCCTCACTTGCGTCAATTGACCTACGCCCCCATGAATCGCGTTTCAATGGTGTCAATGAATCCGCCCTCGAGCGGAGATGATGAGAAGAAGATGAATAGAGGGCTGATGATCGAGGTCTGAACATTGGAGGAGGTTGAGGCAAGGAGGTAACCATCGCGCCCTCACTGTCACGCTTAAGCTTGTTAGGACTTGAAGGTAGGCCGGAGGGGCGAAGGGGAAGTTGTTGAGATCGATGATGACCGGGAAAGGGTGATTCAGGAGGGGGTAAGGCGCCAAAACCATCGATGCCAATTCCAGCACTCTTGAGAAATGATTGAGATGCACAAGAGCTTATAGTTCGGAATGGGTCTTGAGATGATGCCCGACTGATGGAAAGCAGGCTATGACTACTCGAAGGTTTACTTGATCCAGCTTGTGTGGCAGCATCATCCATGTGAAGGTCTTGACAGGAATCATCAGAATGTTGATGACGAAGTATCATACCAAGTCCTTCAAGTTGTGGGACGGCCCAGATATCTGTACTTGTCTCACGATCTCGGGCAGTCTTTGTCCGTCGTCCGTTAGAACCACCGCCAACCAAAGGGTTCAAGTAGCTGGACTTGTGATTAGACGCGGATGAACCATCTCGACGACTCAGGGTCGAGCAACCTTTGACGCACCCGGCACTTGCACGACGGATTGGACCTGCTACCGGGCTTCCCGAGCGATCTACTCGAACCATACCATTGCAGCTACGAGAAGACGGACTAGACTGGCTGAATGCGTATCGAGCATTTAAATCATCTGATTCATGTCCAGAATCTGGATCGTGTTCTGGCAAGGGTCCAAGGCCATAAGATGCGGAGCGGTTTGGATGCTCCTTCAAAGTAACACTGACAGTGCGCTGTCGTGATCGAAGCGGACCAGGAAGACGAGAACCGGAAGATGGGGATTCGGGCTCATTGGGGATCAGTGAAGTGCTGAGCCAAGGTTGGGAGATGTTTTGCTGTTGAGCACTGGTACCCGCACATCCACTCGAAGCCATCAGACTACTGGTCGTACTCTCTGAGCTGACCAAGTCAGGTAGGCAAGGATCAAGAGGCGCGACAGGCGCTGAAAAGGGTTCAAACCCGCTACTCTGGTTCGGTTTTGCACCAAAGAGATTGGCCCGAGCAGAACTAGCAGAACGCAATCGCAAGCTAGTCGACGCGTGTGACATACGCAGCTTGGAAGGCGAAGGAGGAAGACCTTTGGCCATCGGTACCATAGGCGTAGGATTCACTGATGGGTTGACGTGATGGGTTGACTGGGACATCGGAGGTAACGCAATGTGCCCAGCAGACTTTGAAGCGATTGGAGATTCGAGATCAAAATGACTGTTGAAATGATTGATCGGGCTGACGGAGCGCTTGAAAGGGGACGAAGTCATAGGCGCGGGTTGTTGGTATTGGCTCAGCCCAGCAGCCTGGGTCTCCCCTGGAGTGAATTTGGACTGGGAGAGCTGATTCGGCGTAGCGGTAACGGCACCGATGATGAACGCAGGAAGACCTTGTTGGGTTTGCAGTGCGGACGAACGCTGGGCTGTGGCGCGCGTATTATAAGAGCGACGGGGTGAGCGTGGTGATCTGGGGGAACGTGGAACGTGAGGAAAGGTAGAACGAGGAACGCGTGCTGATGGGATGGATGAGACCGGCTGGAAAAGACGCGAGCAAGATAAAATGGGTAAGCACGAGTAAGCCAATAGAGACGGAGGTTACATGATGATCTACATACCTCAAGCTCATGGGAAGAGGGCAAGGCTGAGTTTCGAGCATGACTAAGGGATCGGTCACGTCTTCGAATCGCCGAGGGAGTGGTGGTAGTTGAAGAATGACAAGATTCTGGTCTTTTGGATGGACTGGCGAAATCGTCTATCAAAAGACTTGGACGAGATCGCTGATGGTCTGAAGAGACGAGAGCCATATTGGGAGGATTATTGGAAGTTGGTAACGTTCGAAGATCATGGTCCGCTCGAGGTGGTAAGACTGGAGTGCGGGGAGATGAAGTGGCGACGGCAGTATTGAGAGTGTCTAAGGATGGGTCAAAGGGCAAATGAAGGGTGGAGGGCAAATGATGGATGATGTTGATGGAAGGAAGAAGAGGAATGACGGGTTGTTTTGCAGATGGAGGCAGGGCGTGATGTATGCAAGAGTAAGAAGAAAGAGAAACGGGACCAAACAAAGGAAGATTATGAGTTTCACTAAGCAATCGCATGATGATAGATTATGAGTGAAACACAACAAACCTGCCCAATCACCAAAGCCAATTTCACTACGACGACTGAGAGAGTTAGAGGCTTGATCTTTTGCTCGGAGTTTCTTTGAACCAGGTTGTAAAGAGCATATACGTTTTTTGATAGGTTTGATGAGTGGTGGGTTTGAATTAGCACCAATGAGTTGTTTTTGTTGTGATGATATTGTACCGACGGGCGAAGAATGAAGAATACTGGGTGAGAGTGAATGATGAGAAGATGAGATGGGAGATTGCTGATTGAGATCAGGTGGTGGTGGAGTGGAATGATATGATGAATCGTTATTGTTGTTGTTGCCGATGAGTGCACCGATTCCGAGTGAGAGAACTTCTTTACTCTTTGAGCGACCCCAAGATCGAGCGGCTTCACGAAAGAGACCACTGGCTTTCTTCCTAACCAGTTTACCGGATTGAGCCCAAGAGCTAGGAAGAGGTTGAGAGTTTGAGGTAGAATGACTAGAGTTTGATAGACGAGAATGAGGATGATCAGGATTGTCCATGGAAGTAGTTTTGATTGAGATTGATAAGGATTGTGAAGCAGATGATTGACTTGAAGAGTGTTGTTGATCGATGAAATTGTTTTGATTGTTGTTATTGATGATTAACTTTCGATTGGAATTGGTGCTTGGATTAGATTGATGAATGTGAATGTTTTGAATTGATTCAAGTTGAGGTGAGGATGATGATGATGGCGATGGCATTCCAATTAAAATGATCTCTTCAAGAAAAGTTGATCTCAACAAAAAGTACCTTGCAGAAGTGAGAGAAAGGTAAGGAAGACAGATGAGTTAAAACGAAGTAGGTAAACTGATGGAAAGAGAGAGAGAGAGAGATAATAAAGAGATGAAGTGAGAATGAGAAGATCTTCAAAGGACAGAGTTAAAATCAAACTGAGAAGGGTGAAGTGGTGAGGGGTGTGTGAATATCTGTCAAAATTAAACACAGTGGGTGTTGTTTTGTTTTGTTTTGGTGTGTAAGAAGATGGAGAAGAAAAAACCTTAC